CGCACAACATGGGAGTGGTGGTGTGTGCGTGCGAGTGCTTCAGATGCAGTCGTCCTACCTATGCATAAAGGTCAGCGCGTTAAAAAAACCTGAACGAGGAAGATGTCAATTTAACTTTGAGTTACCTAGATCTTGTCCGTCCTTTTAGTACTCATACCTGTGACTGCAAAAATAATACAGATTGACGACGAGTTTACTGACCCGCAATCGACCAGTCATTATTAGTTCTTTCAAATTCATTTTCATCCAAAAGAAACTTATACTTTAAACCACAAATCTTAAAAGGGATATTTCAGATCCTTTGCAAGATTATTTCAGTGCCAAACAGAGCAACAAATCATTGGAGTTTACCCCCGCCTCCAATGGTGTTCATCTAAAAAAACACAATCACTGAAGTTATGCGCCTATGCAGCCTTCGTGCGCTAAGAAAAAAACTCGTAAGAAGATATCTAATGTTATTTACTTAGAGAAATTGCTGAAATACTCTGCAATAACTTTTGTGCTGACTATGATCCGTAATAACCTATCAATGGAAATACTAAGTATCAAATGTGTACCAGTATTGGGTTACTTTTGGCACGAATTTGTTTCCTTTTCTGGCGTTTTATGTACTCAAATATAAATCCCGTGTATATGAGGCGGTAACTCCCAAAGAGGAGTGGAGAAAAGGAGAAGGATTATACGTCTTATTTTTTTTTCAATCGATCCGTCTCCTCTTATTTGGCACCAGCGGTTAGCTATGCGTGCTCGCTGGAATAGCCCTCGTTTGTGTGCTCTATTCTCCTACGTAGGATTTCACATACATTTCCAGAACAAAACTATTCCAGTTTCTGGCACACCCCTCTGACGAAAATCACAAAAGTTATTGCAAAGTCCCTTTACCTGGTAAAGGTGGGCAGGACTCCACATGGGAAGCATCATCTGCATTCGGGTCCGAGCTTATGGAGTTGTGAAAGTGCTGCACGGCTGGATTTGCAAAAAGGTCACTCCACGATATTCCTGGTGTTAAATTGCATCCTTGCGGGTTGTCGAGCACATAGACATCACCATTTTGAATTACTGAAATTGCACGACGTTACGATTAAATGATCAAATTTTTACTAGCGATTATATCAGTGATAAAGTGACTTTAAATTAAAGTAATCGGGATGACAGTGAGTATGTGACCACTCTCACGCCAATTCACCTTGATACTCTTCGAAAGATAAGTTGTGGCATCCCAAAACTGCCTTTCCTTAATTCGAGGAGCTACCGGGCAAGTTGGGACAAGCTAATTTGCAATCGCATTCGGAAATCGTGAGACAAAATTGGAAAGTAACATGTGCACTAAAGCTGCTAGAAGCTCTCCAAATCTGTAGAAATGGGCGCTTGTTAGTTAGGGAAAAAATACGATCTATGGAAATTAAAACAAGCACCACATAAAAATGCAACGGACGAATATTGAAAAAAACCACTAAAAAATTTCACATTGCAATAATTGGAATATGTGGGTAAAGAACACTTACAAGAGAATGTCAAGACATTCTTAGTGTCATTGTTTAAAGCATGAGTCAGACAAACATGTAAACTTAATAACGCTCATTGTTTTTGACATTTTTTCTGTCAAGCCCTGTCATTTTGGGTTGTAATTATAACTATAAGAGTAAAATATTTCAAATTAGCTTTCAAACGAATCCTCTTTGCCATGTTTTGGCTAAATAACCTTAGAAACTGCGTCTGATTTCATGTAAAACAAAGAGTATTGATCAATTAAGCATATAATGGAAGTGTTCATCGAGAGATTGCTTAAGACTAACGTATTACAAAATTTACAGCCTAAAGAAACCACTTTCCGAATTAAAGAGCTGATAAATTCACTTCACCTTATATAGTTCTCCGACTCCTGAGAAACGCTATGGAACAGTGAAAAATCATTAAAATTTTAACTTTTACTAGATAAATTTTAAAATTGTATCTCTTTAGTCAGTATATTGGAGGCTATGAGCAAGGTTACACCACCAGCTTAAAATATGACACAACTTGCACGAACTTGGCAAGTGCATAATTTAACTTGATTATATACTGCCCAAGATTAGAAAATTCACATTAAAGGGTGAGAAATGAGTGCGCCCAATGCAAAAAGACATCTTTTGCTGTCGCGTCTACCCAGAAACATTACAGGAATAAGTTATTATGGTGTTAATATACATTCACGCAAAAAGCAAAAAAATTGGAAAAGAAACACGAAAATAGGTTAAGACTTACCTCGAAGATTTCCAAGATCAACTTTTCTTAATATCCTTCCAGAATCATAGGTGTTCCGAATAAGAAGCGATGCTTTTGGAAGATCCTCACGAAGACTATAACCACTGCCCAAGCCACGAATGATTTTAAGTCCCGAAAGAGGAATTTCTTCAACACTGGAGTTCATTATGATTAAAAATCCACTTATTTCTTCTATGTGTTTCAAAAAATCCAAATCTGGGCCTAAGCCATCTACTAAAACAAAAGATCCGGTGCAGGACATTAAAACCTTTATATGGCGGCAAAAGTCGCAATTAATGTGTATTAATTCAGGAAAGGTCAAACTGTAACTATAAAGAAAACCAAATGTTAAAGGACTAATAGCAAAACTAATTCTACATGAGGCCCCATTGCGCACATGGTTAACAGTTTCCTTATAAGCAGGCACAATTTGAAATAATACGAGACAAATTACATAAGAAAATCTAAAGGTCAACGTAACTCATCACCCAGTTAAATTAAGGAGAAATAATGCTCAAGCAGTTGTGGTTAACACCCATGGCAAAAAAATTCACTTAAAGCTAAATAAAATTGAATTAGAAATAAAACTATTACGAGAAAAATCGACGTAAAAGGCGATAAACATTATGGATGACACTTTGAGAGACTTTTTAAACTGTCAAGTAAAAAACATAGCATACCATTTAAGTGAAGTCCATAAATAATTAAATTCCCCACAATATGCGTACAGCCAGAAGAAAATAGCTTCCTCAGGTACTCATATGTTCCATCAATCGGGAATCCACTAATTTCATTCATTTGGCTCGAGCAAGCTGTTCCGGTTAAAAAACCAGCAACATTACCTCGATATTTTCCTACATCTGTTACAAAGGCCGCTAAAAAGTGTAAATGAGTAAATCGAACACACCTGATAAGGATACACATAGGCATATTAGCGCGTGGCGATAATCCATAAAAGTAAAATTAAAAGTTCGATGGTAAAATCCAAGGTCAAAATTAGGTAAATGGAAAAAGTTAAGAATTTTATTAAAAATAGATAACAAAATAGTTATACCTAAAATCATTCGCAACTTAACTAATTTGGATCAACATAGCAGGTAAATAAGTAATTTTAACATTAGATGCGTGAAAACAATTCAGATCCCTATTACCTGTAGAGCCATAGATAAGCAAACAATCAAAAAAACAAAAACATTTTTAGGCTTTAAGTTTTGTTTTTTGTGCAGATAAAAAGCATGAAAGGGCAGCCCTCATTTTTACAAAATAATATTGCGCTCTGGGGTGACCCAAGATAGAAATCAGACTAGTGCAGGTAAAAGTCGATGTTGGTGTTTAAAGAATCGTAATTCTTAATCTAAATTTTTTGCTATGAATTCCTGTTGCTTCTTAACCTTAATCAAAGCAAGTTAGTTGCAATGACCTTTAACGCAATTGGTTGCTATTGTAATTGATAGCCAGGCGACATTTTGGTGTTTATTTGGTACGTGTTTAAGCTATTAGTCCGTATTTGACTGCATATTAATTTTCAAGTCACTGTGGCCTGAAAAATGCATCTTAAACACTTCAAGACACTGATTCCATATCAACCAGTGGAGTCGAAAATATCAGCACTAGCCTGGTCACCGAACAGTAAACGACTAGCTGTTTCTACAAGTGATCGTCTTATTGTTTTATTTGATGAAGATGGTGAACGAAGGGAAAGATTTTCGACGAAACCGGCTGATGGAAAATCAAAAAAAGGCTACGTTGTTACTGGTCTATCGTTCTCCTTTGATTCAACGAAGCTTGCGATTGCTCAGTCGGATAATATGGTGTTCGTTTATAAACTTGGTGAAAGTTGGGAAGATAAAAAGGCTATTTGTAATAAGTTTCCGCAGAGAAATCCTGTCACTTGCATCATTTGGTCTTCTGAACACCAGATAATAATGGGTCTAATGGATGGAAAAGTTAGACTTGCGAATACAAAGAATAATAAATCATTAACTATTTTTAATTCCGGATCTTATGTGGTGTCGTTGGCCGCAAGCCCTAGTGGAAGAGGATTTATTTCTGGCCATGCAGATGGCAAAATTGCTCGGTATAATTTTGACGATGACGGCAATTGCGTGCTACAGGCTAAGGTCGCCACTCATCCAGTTCCACCCTTTGCCTTAACCTGGGCTGGGAATTCCATTTTCGCCGCTGGCTTTGATAGACGAGTTATTATATATGGACGTGATGGGAAGGCACGACAGCAATTCGATTACTCGAAAGATCCCACTGAGAAGGAGTCGACAGTTGCAGTTTCAGGTCCAGGAGGACATGTTGTTGCTATTGGAAGTTACAACAAAATAAGAGTTTATAATTTTAGTATCCGTAAAAATGTTTGGGAAGAATTTCCTCCTAAAGTTATTCGGAACCTCTATACAATAACCGCTATGTGTTGGAAGGCTGATGGCTCAAAATTGACGATAGGGACATTGTGTGGGGGCGTTGACCAGTTCGACTGTTGCATAAAACGCAAAATCTTGAGGAATTTCGAGTTTGTTTACGTAGGACCAAGTCAGATTATTGTTTTAAACAAACAAACACAGGACAAGACCTTGCTCAGATCGGATTATGGTTATGAAATTGAAGATGTCAATGTTATGGGCGGAGATAGCTACCTAGTTGCACAAACATCCGACACACTTATTCTGGCTCATATACCCACTAAGGAACTGAGTGAAGTGCATTGGAAAAAAAATGGAACTAAATACAAAATATTATTTTCGAGTAGAAAATTTTGTGTCATCTTTGGTGCTGGTGAACTCTTTGTCATTGAATATGGATTGTCAGAGGTGCTGGGGTCTGTGCGCACAGAAGTGACAAATCCCTACCTCTTCAGCGTTCGAATAAATGAAAGGAGTAGAAATAATGCGGCCTGCAAAAAGATCGCTTACATGTTGGATGCAAAGACAGTGAATGTAATGGACTTGATAACTGGTCTTACAATTGGGCACTACGCCCACGACGTGTGTTTAGACTGGCTGGAGTTAAGTGAAAAAGCAAATCACCTTTTACTTCGAGATCGAAAACGTCAGTTAATTCTCCTTAATACGGAAACCTTCACATCCTTCGTCTTGCTTCCATTTTGTTCCTTTGTTCAGTGGATTTCGCAAAGCGATGCAATCGTCGCTCAGTCGAAGGACAGCATTAGCGTCTGGTATAATATAGATGCTATCGACCGAGTGACAACACTGCCGCTACAGGGCGGTGACATCGTCGGTGTTGATCGGATTGGTGGCAAAACGGAGATTCTTGTATCCAAGGGCATGACAACCATCAGGCATCCTCTTGACAATAGCCTCATTGAATTTGGAACCGCGATGGAAGATAATGACTTGGAGAGAGCTGTTACCTTTCTTGACTCCCTGGAGATGGCAGAGGAGACTGAGAGCATGTGGAAAAAATTAGCGGAAAAGGCACTGCAAGCCCTCAATCTCTTGGTAGCAGAACGCTGCTACGCGGCACTGGGTCTCCTTAGCAAGGCACAATACCTCAAAGTTACTAGGGATATTGCCGAACAGGAGGGTGATCTAAATCACTACAAGGTTCAGACTCGATTGTACATCCTCGCTGGTGACTTGGAACTTGCCGAAGCTATCTTTCTCGAACACAATGCGGTTGATGAGGCGATTAATATGTACACTGAAATGCACAGATATGAAAAAGCTCTTGAGGTGAGTTGATTATATAAAGGCTTAAGGGTGTATTTTAAAAGAGTTTTGGAAGGACACATACGGGCACGTGTTTGTAGATTGCAGAGGCAAAAAATTGGCCAAAGTTGGAGATGCTGAGAGAGGATTATCACAAGTGGTTGGCGGAGACTGGACAGACGGAGGTGTTGGGAGACTTTCGTGCCAGAGACGGTGACAACACGACTGCCGTCAGCCTCTACCTGCGGGCCTCTGTGCCTGGGAAGGCTGCGGCTCTCGCTCTCTCTGACGCCTCACTCTCTGAGGATCGTGTCATCTTGGAGCAAATTGCTCAGGTAAGTCATAGTTAGCCATATTTGTATGAGTGCCAATTATAGTGCCAAACAGTGGCCTACCTGCTCTGAAATTAATTCTTGCAAGTATCGCGCTATGAATGTTATTTGAACAAAGGCATACTTCTTCAGTTTTATTCATTGTCATCGAGCATGTTTTCTTGTGTCAGCATTTGCTTGATTTTCCTCTTATCGCCTTAGTGATTGCAATTTTTTAACAGTCTAGTCGTTTCAGCATTTACATCCCTAAGCGAGTGCTTTACCTTTTGAACAATTCTGCGTATCTTGCATGGACTAAAATATAGTTTCATTTTAAGGATAATTGATTAGTCGTTGGTTTACAAAGACAAGCAAAGTAGACCGCCGATTACTAAGCAAACACCTAATTTTAAGGTGTGGAACCGAAATTCACCTGTTGGGCGGTGAATGTTCTGAATCCTGGTTTGTCTATTTCGTGAAGTTCCAGCAGTAAATTACATAATGAAATAAGAGCTTGGTCGTAGAAAGCTATGAATTCGGGCTTGAACGAAATTTTGTAAGGTAAATGACCGCTAAATAAATAAAGTTTTCGTATTTTCTTTAAAATTTGCTTACAAAATTAAGCTAATACTTACTTTTGTACACCTGGAGCCTTCCTGGGGCGGTAATCTTCCGCGGAAGTATTTTTTCTCAAAATAATCTCGATAAAAAGGATCCTCTGACTAAAGCGACTGTAATCTAATGCAAACATATGTTTGTGTTCATAGTGGCTTACCGATAAACAGGGGCATAAACCCGAAATTATTTGTCTAATAGTCGTTCCATTACAGGTAGTAGGATCTTTTCCTGTATCGACGCCTCTCACAATATAGAATGCCATTTCAAAGAACTTATATCAAGAATTGCATGTGTTTTTGCATACGGCCCACAAAAAAACTGCCTAATGATTGTGAGTTACCATGCTTGTTTGATCCCTGCACTAAGTACTGCCAATGCCGTAATGTGTTTCCCTATTAGTCGTAACGAGGTTTTAAAAAGGATTTCTGTGTAGGTAAAATCATGAGCACGAAATAAGTGGTAAGGATGAATGTCCACCTTCTTTATGCAGGCCCTTGTGCGTGCGAACCAACAGGAGAAGGCGGGTGAGCTGTACAAGCGGCTGCGGCAATACGAGGCTGCAATGCGCTGCTACCGCTCAGGCGGCGCCTTCCAGAAGGCCCTCGACGTGGCTCGCGAGCACCTCCCCAGTGAGGTCGTATGGCTGGAGGAAGAGTGGGGTAATCATCTCGTCGCCCATCGACAGCTCGATGCCGCCATTAACCACTTCATCGAAGCTGGGTATGGTTAGCTCCCATTCCATTCCTTTAATTTCTTTCAGCTCCAATCGATTTAATGAAGGTAAATAGTTTTGCTTACTATATTCACTGCTTGGTGCTGATCATGCAATCTTAAAACAAACTTCACACGACATCTATTATACTATTTAGACGACTAATTTAATTTAGTTTGTCCCTTTCCGTGTTCACCAGATTTACTGCTTTGCAGACATGGTATAGCCTATAACTTAAAACTACATCAGCTTCGACGGATAATTTTCCTAACCCAACTAGTAGTTGCGGCCTTATCTATGCATGATTCGCGTCAATGCTCACTTACATAGATTCACTTTCACTCTTGCCACTTCTGAAAGGGCCTACATAAAAGCGCTAGAAGCGGCCACGAAGGCAGGCGAGTGGACAAAGGCGGCAGAGATTCTTTCTAGCATTGAGACAGGAGGCAGTATGGACTCGATGACTGCGGCGGCTGTGGGGTCGTATAGATTGGAGCTGGCCCGATACTACTCACGCACACGGCAATTCGCACTAGCCGAGAAGGCCTTCGTGGCAGCCGGTGCGCCCAACCTTGCCATTGAGATGTACACTGACGCCGGCATGTGGGAGGAGGCTCACGGCCTAGCCTCCACCAGCATGCAGCAGGATGCTCTCACCGCGTAAGTTCGGTCCACCTTACATTGATCAGCAGTCCATCCTCTTTGTTCCTTTCCTCTGGTCTAGTTATGCTGCACTTTGCGTCCTCTCACGCTCGTAGTTATTTGTGTGTCCCCTTGTCAAAAAGACCTTTGCTAATGCGGTGTGGTGTCGGCTTCTTTTAGGATGTACATGCAGCAGGCCGAGACCCTGGAGTACAGTGGTAAGCTGAAGGAGGCAGAAAGACTGTACTTGACTGTGAAACGTGTTGATCGGGCAATGACGATGTACAAAAACCAACGCCAGTATCGCGAGGTGGCACGTCTTGTGCGTGCTCACAAACCGGAGCTTCTCGAGCAGACACTGATACGTATCGCGCAGGAGTTGGAGTGCGAAGGCAATCTGCGACAGGCCGAGCAATACTACATGGAGGTACTTATCCTTGTACCCCACTCAAACAAAATTAAAATTTTATGCGGGCTTAGTTTTAATAAAATAATCTCTTACAACGGTGTGTAAAGAGGAATAAGGACCCTATTAAATTAATTACTTCTTAATTTATTAGATGTGTCAGTTTGTGAGTTTTTACTATAATGCAAATTTAGTAGAATTTAAATCGTTTAACAGTGGAAGTAAGACACGGGAGCTTCAAAATGCTTAAATGTATCGCATTATGATAATAGATATTGATGCCTTTTGAGATGGACTTATAAGCCGGCTTATGGTCTTAGTTTTGATCAAATGACATCCTAGTGCCAATTATGAACAAAATATGCATTCTTTTTACTTATAAGCTTGAATTGTTAAAGTGTTTGTTGTGTCCCCGTAGGCGGGTGAGTGGAAATCTGCGGTAAACATGTACCGCACACGTGACCTCTGGGAGGAGGCCTTTCGTGTGGCAGGTGAGTGCCGACAGCAGCCGGAGCTGCGCAAACAAGTAGCTTTCCTGTGGGCCAAGCACCTCGGTAGCGACTCAGCAGTGCGTTTGCTCAACCGCCTCGGGCTCCTCCACACCGCTATCGACTACGCCACGGAGCACTGCGCCTTCGAATTCGCCTTCGATCTAGCGCGCTCTTGCCCTGCGGAAAAGGTCGGAGAGGTGCACAACAAGTATGCTATGTTCCTTGAGGATGAGGGGAAGCTCTCCGAGGCTGAGGAGGAGTTTATCAAGGTTCTATTCTGCTTCACCACATCATTTAACGCTCATCTCAAAAGTTTTAACCTTTAAGCATGTCTTAGTAGGCAGGTCGACCACGAGAGGCGGTATTGATGTACGTCCACAACCAAGACTGGGCATCAGCGGCGCGAGTAGCGAGGGATCACGATCCAGAGAGCGTGAATGACGTGTTGTTGGGTCAGGCGCGCATCGCCTTTAGTGAGCGCGACCTCGCGCAGGCAGAGGCGCTGCTACTACGCGCCCAACGACCTGATATGGCGGTGCGTGCCTACCGTGAGACTGGCCACTGGGAAGACGCCATTCGGGTGGCCCAGGCTTATCTCCCCTCCAAGCTGCAGGAGCTTCTGGTGAGACCTATTTCCTTCCTTTGATACACAATCTCTCTTGTTGATTAATATTATGCCACGTGTGTTAAATTTTGTTGTATTTATTGCGTAGTTATGGACAGCGAGACCTTACAACTTGTTGAATATTTGACGCATTTTGAGGTAATTTTTTATTCAGAAATTTACTGTTTGACCACTATTATTTTCCGAAAGGTATAATTTCCGTAGAATTTCCATCGGATAGGGTACACTGAGCTAAAAATTAATTCATATTTGCTTGATATCACTTCCTGGTTTTTTATTAAATCCACATTTTGTTTCTCAACAACGAGCTTTACTTGGGATCATTTATTCTAGATATTTAGCCTTTGATGCCTTGAGAGTCATGCGTTTATCTGATGCACTTGTGACTGGCTTACGTATCTTTTCTTCGCTATTACTAAACAAGCACATATCCTATGCATTTTTTATCAAGCTAAAGCAGGAAAGTAGTGGGCAGTATCAGAGAAATCCAAAATTTATGTAATTAGGAAACCTAGAACTACTCTGTTAATAGCTACATCATTTGGCAGGGAACCGCACATCAAAATGTCTTTTCACTTCTTTGTGTTATGAATTATATCACATATTTTGTTAAATACGATGTTGTGTAATTTTCTCATCACATCGGAGGCAGTGTTGCCACTAGCAACTTACATTCTTATTTAGTGCGCCGATATAATCCATCATGCTATATCGTGCATTGAAGTTCTACACGCTACTCTCAGGACTTATCTTTCAAAATTTTATGCTCGCAAATTTCTCCTTCTCGAAAAAGAATGCATTCGTAAATACGTGTCTAAAGGTTGCTTCTCGCGCCGAATTTTATAAAAGTTGAAGTCTGAAGAAAACCACAACGACATCAACTACACCTTTACTACAGCTGACCACTTACAGGAAGAATATGAAGAGGAGAAAATGCGTACAGACTCGACCGCTGCTACTACTGGCAGCGTCTGTGGTGGCGGTGGCGGTGACCCACATTGGTCTGCTCAGCGCGGGGCGAATTCCATCGGTGCACGCAGGTCCCACGGTTTGGCGACCTGTGCACAGTCTAGCGGTTCAACGTATCCTCTGATTGTGACGGCACGACAGCTAGAGGCAAGTGGAGAGTACCTTAAGGCCGTAGAGCACTACCTCAAAGTCACTCCTGACCTTCTCTCTGAAAGCGAAGGCGGTGGTGGTGAGGGCGAGAGTGCAGCCACTCTTGCCCACTCCGTGCAGACGTGCGAGAACCTCTGGGTGCATGCCGCCAATCTTGCTACGAAATTCCTTCCTCCAGAGAACTCGGCGCAAGTGACTGAATTGGTGGCTACAAGGCTGGCCCGACTTCAAGTAAACAATTTCCTTCCATACATTTGTTTTCATATCGCATTTCTCCGTGGCTTTATTTTCCTACCTCCTCTACCACCAGCGATACAGTACGGCTGGCGAGTTGCTGCTTAGCATTGACAGATTTGAAGATGCAGTTAATGTCTTCGTAGCCGGTGAGGAGTGGGAAAAGGCGCGCAAGATTGCCAAGGATTTGGAACCCCAACTTAAGAGTTACGTAGAGAGTAAATACAAGGAATCTCTCAAGGTGGGTGCCTTTTCTAAAGTCATTAAGCAAAAAAAATTTGAATTGACTGGGCCACGATCCTGATAATACAAAAATGAGTGCAGTTGATGAGAGTACAGTTACAAACTACCCTTTATCATTTAATTTCGCCTTAATAAGTAATATCGATCACTGTCTTAATGAAGCTTTGAAATGTTGTCAAAATATGCAGAATAGGGGACAGGCGGAAGAACTGGCAGGCGTTGATGTGCTCTCGGCGATTGAGATGTATGCGGAGCAGGGTCGATGGGAGAAGTGCATTGGTGCTGCAGAACGACTCTACCAGGAGACACATGCGGAACGCGACTATCAGCTGCTGCATAAGTACCTCGCTACCTACGCCGCAACTCTGATTAAGGAGAAACGTGCCTACGACGCCCTACTCCTCTATAAGCGCCATGGCACTCCACCCTACGTCCAGAACTTCAACATCTACAAGGGGATATTTCAGGTGAGTTTCGAGTGCAAGAACTGCTGTAAATGATTTGCCAGTATTTACTCTCTCCTCCCCCTCTTGACCACGCTGTTAGGAGATAACTGCGCAACGTAATCTCGCCACGGCAGACGCCTATCCTACGTGGGCGGCTTTGAGAGACACCCTCCTCGATCTCTACCAGCGAGTCTCTTCTCTCTCTGGTGCTGTCAAAATCCAGCCCAGTGTAGTTAGTATCTTCGAGCGCATGTTTCTGGTAGCACACTACTACGCAACACGCTCGGCATTGATCTCTGCAAAGCTCTTTGATGTAAGCCACGCATTACAATTGCTTAACGGTACATGCTCACGCCTTGATTCATAGTTCATGTTCACGGTCGCATGTTTACATTTCTTTGTTTACTTATTTGTGTTTTGTTATAGCATATCTGACTTAATCAAGACTAATTAAAAGCAGTAAGATTTGGAAAACTAATAGATTATTATCATCTTCAGTTGGCAACAAAGGTGAGTATCTCCCTACTCAGAGACTCGGACATCATTCCCGCCGACAAGGCATTCTTTGAAGCTGGAACGCATTGTCGTAAGCTGGGCTGGGACAGTATGGCATTTGTTTTTCTGAATCGCTTTCTTGATCTCATGGAAATTATTGAAGACCATGATGGTAACTCCGATGCACTAGACAGCACTGATTTCCAGGTAAATTGGTTTCTGTGATCAATTGTATCTTGATCTCTGTCATTAGACCTACTAGTTGAAAGCTCTACAACGGTGAAAATATTGTTCGTTACTTGGCACACTTTACAAGCCTTGACTTAAAGTGCACTGAATCTGAAAACCGTCTGTACAGTCCCCTCTTTTAACTTTAGAATACAGATATTCCTTTGGAGGTTCCGATCCCAGAGGAACCCTACGCCACGAGTGCTGAGCACGAGTCGGTGCGTGAGTGGATCCTGGCAGTATCGATGGATCAGAAATTGGATCAGATACTACCCAAGGATGAGCGGGGAATCTACGTAGCTTGTTTGCGCTCTTCTGCAACGGGAGTGTCTGCTCTGCCGTGTGTGGTAACCGGCTATCCTGTTTTACGAGATAATGTTTCATTTTCATCCGAAAGTGGGAAGCACTCAGCTAATCTAGAGGACTGGAAGCGTCTCACCTACGCTGCTAATGTAAACCGCAATGCTGAATGTGTTGACGTCTTCGAATTCATTCGTAAATGGTGCGGTAGTGTTATCTAATGATAAGGATAATTAGAACGCTTGTCCAAATTCTGTTGACATGTCACATTATTTGTAACTGTGATTAAATAAACTTCTTTCAACTTACCTAAAAAGGAAATCGTTATGCTATGCAACAGCTAATTTGAAAACTACCGAAAGCAATGCGCCTATAAAGTGTAAAGGGTAGCGACTCGTGCCTTCCCTGAAGTCGAAAGGACTCATTGTTTTAAGGAAAAAGTACACCACTAGCCTACAGGATAGCTAGGAGGCCATTAACATGATCTAAAAGCCATGATGCAGAGCGGAAGCATAAATTGGGGAGACTAAAGTGTCGCTTATGTAAATGCATGGCTAAACGAGGTGCCCTGTCACTGGATGGATGCTCTTCTTTTGAGCGTTGTCCCCAGCGCCGCATTTTGTCAACACCTCACATCGGTCATCACATCGTAGTTGGTGATTTGAAAGAGAAAACCACCTCCTGACCAACCACGCCAGTCATTGAAATTCCCATTTACTTGATCTCAACGTCACGGATGGGTCTTTTTGTGGGAAAAAAGGTAAGGATGAAGCACACTGGCTTTGTACCACTTAAGATTAGAAGATGGTCTACAACGGAAACGTCTCGTATGCCAACCGCTAGTATTCAATAAATTGGCGCAAAATCAGGGGTATTTAATAGAACGTAGGATTCAAATAGACTCATGTAGATGATGTGTTGCATCTATTTCTCCTTGCTCCTTTGTTCTCTTTTCATTGCTGTCCAGCATTTGCTTGGGGTTTTCTTTTAGCTAGTAGAGACGTTAAAGAGGTAGTGCCTGTTTCCGCAATCAGGTGCAGCAGATAGCTAAAGAATGCAATATGGTGTCAATTCAGTTGGTTATGGCCCACTTGCAGAGCACGAGATTAAGTAATTGCCAAGGGCAGACGTCACTTAAAACCCTCGGGTTAAGCGGCTTTACAGAATCAGCCATCGGCAGCAAATAACATTCTGTAGCATCAGGGTTTGGAATTCATACGTTTGGGTCTATTTTGATTGCCGCTACTGAATTTGGTCGATCCAATTCTTTGCTGTAATGATAACAAGCCAACGCCGTATGAAAAACATATAATGCTAACTTTATGGAAAACCAGGAGGCTATTGGCATGGTTCAGATCCACGTTGGAACAGCCAAATTAGAGAAAACAGCTAAGAATCATCATTTAGTATTACTGAACTAGTATAAGTTGTTTCCTAATTGTTAATAGCAGGCTTATTATTTTGCCCTGAATTTAATTTCGAAATGGTACCTGCATTTCACTATGCGCATGTGCGATTCTGTGGACCGGTTATGATTATCCTAACGGGCACTTAGTTGCACAAGTTTCTTATGCTCCATATTTTGGATCTAAATTATGGCAGCAGAATCAGAAGACCGAGCCCCCGGCGTTCTTGTTCCTTGATAAATAATCAATCGTTATCCATGTAGCTCCTTGAGTCTTTCCTGAAGTCGAAAGGAGTCACAATAGTAAGGCAGAAAATGTATTGCGGACATAATAAAGGGTTGAGAGGCTACCGACATGCCACGGAGGCCATGCCGTCTAGGCGAAGTGCAATGGCTGAGCCTGCATAACCGAAACGAGAGGATAACAAACCCAAGTATTAAATTGCACTGCTAATACTAGGAGGACCGATAAACCAAGCTCTTAAAATAGAGTGGCTATACACGAGTTTCACTGCTACCGGTAAATTTTTAGCATTTGTAACTAAATTGTTATTCATTCAACGCACTCAGTAATTCCGTCGAAGGCGTCCTAAGGTGTAGGAGTTCGTGCAGTGCACTTTTAGGCCCACGTCAAAAATGTTTTGTGATATAATTTAAAAAAAACCACCTTGAATAGTCATGGGACTTATTGATAAGTTGTTTTTATTAGCATTTCAAGTCGCTACTGTGATTTGCATGATTTATTTAGCATTTTTAATATAGACCTCCGAATATTGTTATTTAATTTTTAAAGAAATGTACCGAATTGTATTCCTAATTTGCCGTGTGTAATGTTTCAGGCATTCTTTGAACAGTGTGAACTTATTATCAATGACCCTGACTTATTCGGTAAGTTGTGACCTGTCTTCTGCTCCGGCTTGCATTTGTTCTCGGAATGTGTGAAAGTCACGGTCATTGTGAACATGCACATGTCGTGGAAGATGCAGCCGATATGTATAATCTCTATAAGTTTATTGACATAGAAAATTTGGTATGTCTTAATGAGAGTGTTCCAGATTCTGGGAAGAAAGTCTTTAAACCATTTGAGGTATTTTGAAAAATGTCTGATCTTTCCTTAGGAAAGAAAGGATTCAAGTACCTTTGTGGAAAGTGATGCCGATGAGGAGCTTTTATTTAACATACCTTTTACCGGTTCAGTAAAGTTGAAAGGCATAATTATTGCCGGTGAGAACGGCGATACTCATCCATCATCGGTTGCCATTTACAAGAATAGGCCGTTTATGACATTCGGTGACACTGAAGTAGGCTGGATAAGACCAAATTTTTTCACGTTTAGGCTGAGGCTGATCAGTGCATAGAATTACATCCTGATCCTACTGGGGAAATCACCTATCCATTGAAGGCGTTGAAATTTGGAAGTGTGCAGCATCTTGGTCTCCATATTAGGAAGAATTTTGGCGGCGAATGTACTCGAATTCACTACATTGGTCTAAGGGGCGATTTCATGCAGGCGAGGCGTCAGGAGATTGTTATAACAAATTATGAGATCACACCCAATGTCGCGGATCACAAACTTGATATGATGAAAACTTCAAGTCATTTGATTGAATAAATTTGTTGCTTTCTACATGGGTTTTTTCTTCTTTTACAGTGATGGACATTGCGAATGAACTGCATCAGAAGTTTTTGAAGGAAATTGAAGCTGACTTAGCACGGGCCTGGGAATCACTTCCGAAGCCAATACTACCTCAGCCCCAGAATAAGTGCTTGTGTGCCATTCATGCTAAATTACATGAGTTACAGTCTAGGCAGGAGTACTACCGTCGTGCCTACAATGAGGTTGTCGGTCAACTAACAAATATTTCGCACGGTTTACCTGATTGGGTTTTTAGTTGTGATTCACTGCAATATCCAGAGAAACAGATTTATGAAGATGAGGAAGTGAAGGAGGAGAGTGAGGACGAGCCTATAGAACAGTTAGGACCTGATATGCTAAATTTTATGTTGCAAACGTTGCGCCATCGAGAACAGCGGGACAGGGAGAAGGCTCTTGCAGAGTCCTCCGCCACTCAGCTACCCCCTTTAAAGTCTAATGAAAAATCGTCATGCGGCTTCCCTCTCTCGAAACGCGTGCAGATTGAATCGTCCATCGCGAATTTCTATGAAAATATAAGTGAGTGCCGGGATTCTCCGTTTTGGCCTGCTATGCCACTGCGAAACGTGAAACAGTAACCCAACTAACGTTTCTATGATTCATTGTTGTGAAAGAAATTCCTTGATTATATTATTTTGAAGTGGCTAATTCTGAGTGGTCAGTTAATGCATTACTCAGCAAGACTGGCTCTTCCTTGCATGGTTATATCGACTTTTAAATTTGCTTCTTATATTGTACATTGTATTACGTATTTATCTAAGCGGAATCTTATATCAGATAGACCGCGTTATTACGCATTTGATTTACCAAAGCGGGTTATAATTGTTCTCCATGGGAAGCAAAGGCTGTTTCTCAGTTTACTCCAGCTCCTTGGCTGGCTAGCAGTTCGGCTCGTATTCAGATGTGCCACCTTTCCGATACCAGTCTTTTAACAACTTGTATTCATCTGCGTGGTTACATGACCTTAAATTTGAGTGAGTGCCATGTGAGAATACCAATTCCTACGTCCTCAGTGGCTTAGCTTCTTCGATTCCCCCGTGTTAGTGGTGCATTTAAAATGCACTGGTGTAAAAATTTTCCTCGTATTGATATGCTTATTGCACAAACGCTCCAAACGTGAAAGCCACCATGACCGTTATAAAAAGCACGTCACTAGATTTGTCATAGCGGATGCCACGCTTTCAATTCAAACCAAGCGATATCGAGCAAGTACTTGAGTTCGTGAAAACCCAGGCATTGTGCAATCCGACGGATCACGCTAAACACATTGGATGGTGTTATATGCCCGACTGCTTTTGGCTTATAACCCAAGTTTACTTATGCCCATGCTCACTCGGCGGAAAAGACTCACATCCCAGTTACGTTGGCAATTCTCCGTTCAGGTAAATTTCCCATTTGAATAATCAGTTATGTGGGAAGACACTGACACCCAGCAGCAAAGCGCCATCAGTTCTGTATAAGTTTGAATCCTAATGATACGCAGCATCGTACATTCCGTGGTGAGCTTACCATGAAGCTGATTCTTGTGTTCCCCGGAATTAAAGTAAATAAAATACAAACTTAGTTTAAGTATAAGTAGCTTCTTTATTCCTGGAATCTACAACAAAAAGAATGGAAGTCAAGACGCGACGACAACGTGATCAAGGATTATTATGCTTAGAGAGTATGGAGGTGCGGAACGAGTTTACAAAATAGGAATGTAGGAGTCAATCTTGGCTCGGTGACGTTGAGAGACACATTCGGCAATCCAAGCTATGTTCCTCATTTCCTGCTCCTTCAATTTGATGTAGGAGTAGAACATGCCAAAATGAAATTGCTGCATGAAGGAATCCAGGTTCAGTTGAACCTAGAAGGTTGTAGTGATCAGACAGCGTCACGAAGTGAGATAACACCGCAGCAATAGAAATTAAGGGAATGTTGACATACTTCATACTCGAAAAACTTGTCTTCCAGCGTCTTTTCACCAGCGGCATCCCCCGAGTCATCGAATAGTGGTTTATATTCCTTAAAATAGTGAAATAATGCTGTACTGGAATCCCACAAATCGTAACAACGAGAGAAACACTTACCGCATAGTAATCAGCGATGTGTCTTACTTGATCGAAATCATCAGCCTTTGCGAGTGCAGCCAACCCATAGGGATACAATTTACCGCATCGTGGATACAGCTTGGCGCGATCCTCTTTAGTTAACTCTGTGCCGAATGAATTAATTGTGATAAGAAATGACCGTCTGTCTGCCTCAAAGGCCAACAAGTTGCACATGACTTCTGCAGTGGCACCGCCCATAGATTTGCACAGTCTGTAGAAGTCTTCGAGGTAGGCACGATAAAGTGTGTTGCGAATGATTTCGATGTTTAGTTCATCCAAGTCATGCTTAGTTATGCAATCGACGAAGTAGGGGGCTAAAACTACATAGGAAGTAATTGGTTACCTAACGGCGTATCAACTAGGACGGCATTGTACAGCTCAGATGGAGTCGAGGCAATGTGCAAAGTCTCCATTTGCATGAACGTGCCCAGAGGATGACACTTAGTTATCAGCTCAGATATTGGTCTTTCGTGCAAAGTGCCAGTAATCAGGAGGACAATGTTATCAATCATGTAGCTATATCTGAAAAAATCCAAAGTGTTGTATTAACACGTTGATCTTACGTTATGTAGTCGAGGAAAACCGACAGAGGACGGAAGGCCTGATTTCGGGTGTACCTAAATTCGCTCACAAGTTTCTCCCTCATTTTTTCTTCAATAATTCCAACAGTTAGTGGTCCCGGTTCGTTAGCCAGGAAGTTTCCATAGTCAGTGTCTTGCAAGTGAAGCTTTAAATCTGAGAAGCTCAGCAAGTGTCAAAGATTTACCCTCCAGGGTTTCACATTGAACTAATACATGATAGTCCGACTGTTTGAGGATTCCGCCTTTCAATCCACGTACGAGACCCTCCAGGTAACCATTATTCACATTGAAATTTATCGTTGAAATGACACCCACTTCGCTCATCCTCCAAGCCAATAAAATCGAACGAGCGGGCAAAGTTGGGGGAAGTAAAACAAAATAATCCCACTGCAGTTTCCTTAGTTGAGCATTAGTTGCAAAGTCAAAACCTGCAGTTGTGCGCAAATGTTTAGCTTAAATGTTTCATTAACATCCTTTTTGCTGCCTTGCCACTCTTTATATGCCATTATGTGAACGCGGTATTCTCTAAGGTCATTTTAGAAAAAATTACGGGAACTAAAGACAGCACCACATGCCGCAAAAATTTTGCTTTAGTATTTTATCAAAAATGTGGTTGGCGCACAGCATTTTTTTTCGCCTCTTTTCACATATATCGAAGGCAAAATGCTAATCACCATCCTCAACATTTCGGCACATGTCACACGCTGTTTCTGCTGTCCGGTAGGCTAGTCCACTTAGTTTACCTACTTAGTACTCCAATATGTTCATTCTTTGCCCCGTTTTTAAGCGGTTTATGTATAACTTCCTCCTCATTTTTAAATGATTTTCAAACTCCTTCCCTGAAGCAGTGTAATGAGTACCGTGTTCCGCTCTTTTACCTTCAGTGTAATGCCCTTTAAAAGCAAAAAATCTGGTAGACGGAGCACATTTATTCGAATGGCATGTGAAATCTTAAAGGTTTTCAGAGTTTAAAGGGGTCGGACTTCTTTTCCACCTCAGGAATGAATGATGTCCGCTCAGTCATGGAGTTGGTGTTACCTGGCCCCGTCACCTACAAGGTATACTTAAACGAATATGTGGCACAGAAAATCTATACTGACTGTAATATTAATGAAGCGCGATCTCGTAAAAAGTCTAAGATTATTTGAACTTCAGAATAGCAGCTTAATACACACTCGGCATGCAACGAATATAACATTCCAAATTGCGGCTACAACCTGTGTATTTAAAAATACCTAGCGTCCTAATAAGCCTCAGTGGCATGAGAGCACGTACATCACATACGCACAGAAGGGCTAGGAAGCAGCTAGCATGGTTTGAAGGCCATGTTGGAGGACGAAAGTGCGATTTGAGGAGACTGGAGGGGGAAGGGTAGTTAATTACAAACTCAAACAAAATATCAAATCACGACTCACTTTAATGCGCGTGTTTCTTTAATTATGATTTTGTTCTTCGGTGGAAAACTCCTAGCTGGTGGCATAAATTTCTTGGACATAGGTGTGTATACATAGTATTCTTCACCACCAAATTCTAACCGTTTTTGGGCTAGATTGCCAGCGATAAGTAAATGTCAGTTAAGGTGAAGGAGAATCTTTATCAGAGCAAGTGTAAAATTGATGATTTTTATTACAGAGTTGATATGCGCCCTAGTGAATCGCCTTTGATAGTAAAGTTGTAGCATTCGTAAGGACTGCACTTGTATTTCATAAATTGCCAGTCTCTAAGGGACGCAAGTCAAACCCCTTTGCTACCATTAATTTTTCGCATTTTGAACAAAAGGGGAACAATGCAAACATGACAATTAGGTGGTTTTTTGGTTCAGACTATTAGCTTTGCCGGTTACTTTGAGCATATTTTCAATGGCCGATTCAGGTCAGTGCAAATTACCCTACGGTGAATAATACCGCCCATTAATTTAAGTAAAAACGTAGGCCAATCTCTCAGCATGTAACAATTTGAGGATGGATCAGGGAGTGCATAATCGGTGATATTCAATTGCGAGAACCCTAAAAATCAGTCATGTTCCATCATTTAAATATGCTGCTTTGTGAGTATAGTTTTAAAAAGCTGGTCAATGGGGTGGGAATGCCTTTCAAGTAGTGCCACCATTCAATTTTAACAAACGTGTTGATTAAATAAGGTTGCACTGCTAAGTATTAGAGTTTGGATAGTACTTTAGTTATTTTTAAAGATTATCAGTAGGATGCTACGCTTCAAGTTGAAATCTCCTCCAATGCCTGTCTGCACTTACAGAGCACGCTTTTCACTTTAGACAAAAATGTGCTGCCTTGAGCTGATACAAATTGATTCAGACGAATCTGCAATATTCGTTTGTCATCGTTAAGCACGACCTCTCCACTCCGTTCCTAGATATTCGCATTTCGATGAAGCCTTTCATTGAAGCAAAAGTTTGATTGCGACTTTACAGATGCACAGGACTCCTTAAAAAAGTCTTGAGTGTCGAAAAAAGCTGACTACTTGAAAAGCCCATTCTCATAGGAATTGCCGCGACGCGAAGATGACGATAATAAAACGAGTTTTATCTGCTTGACGGTCGAAACAAAAGTCTTAGCGTTGCCTTGACAGCAACCAGCAAATGCAGAATTGTTTCCATGACAAGGTCCTTAACAAATGATTGTGAAATGATAAAAGGATTGCATAGTGCTACCCCTCATTGTTTTTTAGGCTGGATGATTTCAACATCTGTACCTAGAAATGGAGGAGTAACACTTGCATGATACAGTCGACTAATTTCAGTAAATAAGAAACACATTTGAATTTTTACTCAGTCAAATTTGAAATTTTTTTTGACTGCCTTTTATGCTAAGAAGTGTCTGCTCTCTGCGTGTGGAACTTCCTCTCAAGCGCTTTATGAGCTGATGCCGCTCCTTCCTTCGCAGCAGAAAAAGGGGAATCCCTTCGTCCTAGATTTCCCCTGAAGTTTATGCTATATAATACGTGATTGCTTATTTAACTGTTGGTTTCGGTAATGGGTCACTTGAAGTTTGCCATTGTACCTCCGCCGGGTGGCCCAATCTCCGGGCCATGCCAGTCACCTCGAGCCTTACTGTGCCTCGATAATACAAATTCTGGCCGAGTATTACATCTTCTGTCGTCTTCAGGAAAGTCTCAAAGTGGCACATATAGTCGTCAGTGGTTTTAGACAAATGCGTGTCAACTCTATGCTCGTGATTCGTCTGATCTGCAAGTTAAAATGGTACCGCTGTCACGTGTCTATCACAAGAAATGATGCCACCATTTAATCTTCCTGGACAAATAATGAGCAAAAAGATGAAAATGCTACTTTGAACAAATAGGAAAACCTAGTCAGAATCTGGACGTGGAAAAGACAAGAGATCGACTTAGTGAATAATTCGTCTATGACTTTTCTTAGACCTTGCTTGCGATGAGCAAGCAAAGCACCAAACGAAATGTTTGAAGGAGACTATTTTTAACAAGATTAAGGTCAAAGCAATTATTTCCTAACAGCGCTCCGAGACTTCTGTGAAGACGGAAGAAGCCGTAATATTAGGGCGTAAAAGAGCGTGGGGTCAATGACAAGTCCCGGAAGCCATGCCTCTAAGTGGAAGTACAGAAGCGGGGACCCAAGTATATGCCAAATTAAAACGACAAATTAAACAATAATTATAGCGATACACAAGGTTATGGATGAGAGCTTGAGTGAAACAAAAAAATTCATACTGACTCGCCCAAAGTGGCCCTCTCCACCTGATTCTTCCAACGTCTTCTCATTTGGCAGGATAGGTTAATTTTGATCGTAGTAAGAAGTTGGATGGCTGTTGCAAGTGAAGGTGCATAATTCGCTGAGTTTATGAAGCTGTCACCGTGTCAATAAGGGAATCAGAAAGCATAAAATGAATGCAAAGTAGGTAAAGAGAAGTACTTTACTACTTAGAAAGCCTGATTTTCTGTCTAGCAGTGTTTAATGCTGCCGCAGAAGAGACTTAGCAAATTCCTTTTCACGGCCACAACTTATTTTACGTCTTAAGCATTAGTAGAAACAGTTGATTCAACTTATTACTACCTGAAAAAAAGGGGAACAGCATTCATTAAAATATTGCAGTTTAAAGTGATCGTACTAGACAAATTTCGCCCTTGCTAGCAGCAAAACCTAATCTAGATGTTATACGGGTTTTAAACTTGCTTTCAAAATGATTGCATAAAAATATAAACCGAATTGCGCTGAACAGTTCCTTTTCCTGGGATATTTTATTTTCCCCGCAGTACTGGTAAGCTTCCGTGTGACAATGTTATTTCTTAATGCCAGGGCCTCTTATACAGGACCCAAGTGTTATGATGAAGCAGACGTTAAAATTGACATTTTACGAGTCTGTTTAGTTGATGATTCAAATGGACGTCAAAAAAGTCTTTAACGTATCTCAATCGTTTTAGGCAGTACAACCAAAAGCTAATGCATGTACATTTCAGGTGATATGAATTTCAATAAGGAAATCCATTTAAAACTAAAATGACCCTATTGTCACTAAAATCTTTTTTGCTTGGTTCACCAACGACTAATATGTCATTTGAGTCGCAAGTGTAATCAAGTATTCCCATCTAACTCTACAGTGCGCCTCGCCAAGAAAACATGATGCAAATACTTGCATTTCTGAATGCACTTCGATGAAAATGGCCTCATTTAGATGGGTTAATGAATTGACGAAGACATCCAATCTATGGATAAACCGCTAACTTGCCGAACAGTATTTTTTTCAAAGGCCAGGTAAAATTCCTCATGAAGGAAGTATGGCAATGATATGAAATATAGCAGACCGTGGCTAGCATTCCAGATGTCGTAGTGGAAATGAAAGGCACTCCTATGAAGGAGTGACGACATGAGTTATTCCGATCAACGGCTGTTCGCTACTCCGACGCACACCTCTGTAGATGGGGCCCTGATCACCAAACATCTAACTCCTACACCGACTTCATCCTGCAGCGCGCTTCGGATAGTCTGCGCTTTTTGCTGAACAATCCGGCTTCGCCTCATGGCCCAGGTATTGTAAGGGTAGAATCGCCGCCCCACTGCCTCTCTACGCATTCCTTATTTGGCATTTAGATGTAATTAATGCTAAAAATTAATATTTGAAATAAGGAAAGTAAAAGGTGTGGCTTAAATTTATTTTTTGTAACCTATCGCAGCTTTAAAATAATAACTTATTTTCAGTTCACCCAAATTGGGATCGGGTGATTTATTTGACCTCTGCTTTATCCCAAGAAAGTAATCATCTCATTTCTACACAATAAAGTAAACTATAGTTGTGTTTAAATAAATTCCCCATAACGATTTCCCTTCCATCACTCCATCTAGTGGAGAAAATGATGCATGTTTCTTTCTAAAGCCATAAATTTCACTACTTATGTAATGTGGCCGAACTCTAGAGCCAACTAGGAGGTGTCAAGAGCTGACTTCCCATGTTCCACTTTTTTAGATCTGTGGACTCTTTTACAAGCTCACCTTCCATTGGTCAAAGTTGCAAGACTAACAGATTCTGCGACGAGGAGATCCTGCCATGTGATTGGACAGCTGCCGGGTGGTTGTTGTAGTGGCCAAGGCATGGCCAATACGACAAAATATTCCAGCCTCGAGTTTTTTCACTCGTCTCACATCGAAGTGACAGCAAGTATTAAGATGCGTGAAATCGTCCACATTCAGGCTGGTCAATGTGGCAATCAAGTTGGTGCCAAGGTAAGCCGGAGGGAGTAGAGACTTTCGGGTATTCGCACCTTAATATGCTGAACTCAGAAAGTGATCTCATTTTTAACAAATATTTACGTCAATAACAGGAATCAGTGTTTGTTTTTGCTTAGTTTTGCTCCCTATCTGCAATCCTTTTTGCTTTCACCGCACTCGTGCTGCACTCGTATCGCCACTTTTGCTGTTAAAATTGCTGCCCTGACGAAATAGGCTGCAAGTTTTTTCATCCTTTGTGTAATTACTGTTTCATCATATAGTTAAATTAAGCGCAGTTTCGTCCTTGGTTTTTATTTCTCGACTTTGTAAAAAAACTGACGTAGTGTATTCAAGCTGGCAAGACAGTTGCTGTCCTGAGCAATAAAATCGCACTAGAAATGGTGCAGTTGATACAATGGAAGTCCAACCCATTCCATTTGTGAATTAATATTTATTTAATAAAGACTGAAGTGCTGGGCCCATTCTGAAAATGGCTTCTTTATCAGGTGCATTCATGGATTATCAGGTAGTTATCGAAATTGATTTAATGCAAGAAAACTGTTCTTCGACCTTTCCTGTGAATTGGTTAAATGATTAACATGCAATGTTCGGTTTAAAACGCCATAGCCCTTTCAAGGATTTGTTTGCTGAGTATCTACTACTTGGTGGGTTGGGGGTTGGAAGCAAATGCACTGATACAGAGCTGTTTTATTCTATATGATGAGGCATAGCAACTTGCGTTTCACTTTGACAGATTTTCAAACCGCACTTAAACCCCGTATGACTAGTTCACCCATCTTCCCCAACAAATGGTTGGAGATGGCTGTTTATTGTGGAAACGACTCACTTGCCTTCTGTCCTGTTAGAACTGCGGTATACATCGTTTACCCAACGTGCAGGGATTCCTCACACGCACTCACGACCGGCGTTAGTGACTACGGTCACTAATCGGCAAGGCATGATTAGTTACCCTTCCTTTATTATTTATGAGCTTCCTTACATCCGCGCGCGTTGTACAACATTAATGCAAGTGATTGCATACGAGACTCTTAGGCACCACCCATGATTAGCCCCGCTATTTCCAATTTTTTATGGAGCACTCTCTACCCCCTTGTTGGACATGGCGTGGAAAGGTACACTGGTGGATTCTGGTAGTTTCTAAAAATAAACTGTAAAACGTCTGATATGTTAGAGGCCTTTTGAAAGCAGTAGTGGGTGGCTCCTTTTGATGCACGAAAACTTGTGTTTAAATGACACCATTCGCACTGTAAGGCCAAAATAAAGCAAAACGCATTATGATTTTGGTAAAGCTGATCTTTTAAGTGGTGAATTCCGGGAATTTCATGCTTAATTATTACCATAGTTAGGCTGAGCAAATCTGATGGCATATTCGTCAATCATGCGACTTATTATGCTCAGATTTTGGCTGGTGAAGAATGCACTTAGCTTATTTTCAATAAACTGAGGCTGTTACGATACAGCAGATACCAGTGAGCCTTGAATATATCCCCTTCAATATATATACAGGCTCAGCGTAATCTGACAGTGACAATTTATGTGCTTTATACAGCTGATTATCTGACAGGTCAGAGGTGTGACAGTGTACCATGCTCAACTAAATTTAACTCTTTAATTAAATGGTAGTAGCTCCGTGCCATGATTGCAGGCCATCTTCAAAAGTATTTGCTCCTTGTTACACACTTCCACCTAATTTTAGCCTTTGGATGGTTAATTTATTAAATTTTCCTCCAAAATTTCAGAAAAGATTAACGGCACTTCCTTAAATTTATATACGTTTCCACAGTTTCTAGCAAACTTAAACTACCATCTGAATGCTGCCTCCATTAAAAGTTGTGTAATTATAGCACTCTAAGGAATTTTATTTCGTGGTCGAGAGGTCTGAGCAATAAGCTCCAACTGATGAGTTCTTTCAGAGAAGTTTTTTTCTGCATGATTGCCTACTTTACTCTTCAGCATGATGTCAAATATGGGCTTAATTAAGCAGCGGTAATTTTATCATAAAGACCAATTTCTGTAAAATTCAACTTTACACACAGAGGCAATATTTTCAATATCAAATTAGCGTCCTGTTATTTTTACCACGCTATGTTGATAATAGTTCGATGACATTGTTGCAGTTCTGGGAGGTCATCTCGGACGAGCATGGAATAGACCCAACAGGCAGTTACCATGGTGACTCGGACCTCCAGCTGGAGCGCATCAGTGTGTACTACAACGAGGCTAGCGGTAACAAGTATGTGCCGCGGTCCATCCTGGTAGACCTCGAGCCTGGCACCATGGACAGCGTGCGTGCAGGTCCGTTTGGGCAGCTTTTTCGACCTGACAACTTCGTGTTCGGTCAGAGCGGTGCGGGCAATAACTGGGCGAAGGGCCACTACACCGAGGGTGCGGAGCTAGTGGACGCGGTGCTTGATGTAGTGCGCAAGGAGGCCGAGTGTTGCGACTGCCTTCAGGGCTTCCAACTCACTCACTCCCTCGGCGGCGGCACTGGCTCTGGCATGGGTACTCTCCTTATCTCCAAGATTCGCGAAGAGTACCCGGACCGCATCATGATCACCTTCTCCGTAGTGCCCTCCCCCAAGGTCAGTCCCTCATGCCCATTCACACGCACACCGCGCACATCTTTGGATTGATCAGTATGCCCCTCTGGCGGAAGCATCGCTGTTTTCAAAGTAGTTGAGCTAAAGATGACAGGTGGACTACAATAAGAAGGTTTGGGAAATATGCACCCAGCTTTGTATAGTTATAGAATTTTAAAATTCTGTCAAAGGAATGAAAATGGACGTGAATTTTTATTAGGCAGATGACAAACAGGTTGCTAAGATCTAAAGTGCAAGCTCACCTTTTCAAAAAGGTCATCCAAATTTAAAATTTGCTTAGCATTTTGAAATTTTGATGTATGATGTAGTAGGAATAATAAATCTTGGGTGCTTAAACTGCCTAAGTGTACCTAGTTTTCCTACGCTACTCACTCAGCCCAAGGGTTACTCCGCCTATTCGAAAATCAACTTCTTAGGCTAGTAAACTCATTTCATTGGTGCAGGATCCACTATTTGTTTATTTAAAGGGGTAAAAATTCGATTTAGAGGAATATCTTGATAAGTGTACAGCCAGTGAGGAGCTATTGCGCTCTCTCTAAACACCGAAATAAAGAGCAAAATCGAGCATGAAATGGGATCTTGACTAACACAACATTCAAGATAGCGACGAACTTCAAGAAATATAACTTCACATTGAAGCGGAAAGCAAAACTGAATGAGAAGCACAACTATGTTACTGACTAATAGGTGAATTCGAAATAAAGTCACAATTTCTGAACTGTCAAATCAGTGAATAGTAGGCTGGTGTTCAGATACACTTGTTATCTGAATCAACTCAAAGTCTCACACATAGGGCCAACCTGCCGAGCAATTTGGTAATCACAATGGTTCTTCGGCTCTTTGATGAATCGGAAGTGTTGAAAAGGAAGCAAATTTTCACTTTGGTGTTTAGATCTTGAGTCCTGGTGCCTTTTTAGCGTTGTGTGGAATTTAAGTGACGGAAAGAAGAACTGGAAAAGGCTGCCGTACAGCTATTTTGCATTTTTATTTGGCATATTGTGAGTTGTAAATGGGGTTTTAACAGCACTTTTGTATAAATTGCCCAAATTCAACAAAAGTGTAACTTTTTCCGTGTATCATTTATTGTTAAAAGGCTTTGAGGCTAACCCAAGTCTTTCGTTAACACTACCGTGATAGTGATATGGGTTTTACAATTACCGCTTGGCTTTGAGATGGAAGGTGAAAATGAACGCAGACCTTTATCCACTTGCCTAGTATTTGATTGCAAAGATTCAGGTCATGCATTATGGTGGACATTTTCAAAATTCGTTTCTTTCTAAGATAGTGTGCCATTAAAATTACTCAAAACGTATCTTAAGGAACTAATTTGATAAACTAATCTTTTATTAAGTAGAGTGGAAATCCTAAGTTTCCGATTTTTCACGGAGTGAAATAAACCGTTCTATGCAATTGAATGCTAAAATATACTTATATGCGACACCCAAGTCTTCCCTGAAGACGAAGGATGACATAACACTCGGTCAGAATATGTAATGCCGTGTGCAGAAGGGTTGGGGCGGCTACTGGCGTGGCTCTGGGGCCATACCACCCCGCGGAAGTACGAAAGCGGAGCATTTAGGGGCCGTTAATTTAAACTAGAGACTCAAATAAATACTCAAAGTATTACAATTAACACTGAAAATCATTAGTAGTTCCATGGTCAAGTGTGAACGCTTAAGCAACATCAGTGGCAGATTTTAAGAATGATTAGAGAGAAAATTCATGATCTGTAAATAAATGCAGCGCTCCCGCCCGTAGCTATGTTTATGGGTCTTGTCTCTTCATATTAACGCGTTATCGCGTAGGTGTGAAGGGAAGGGATCCGTGATGAGAACCAAACAAGAGGTTTCGACGACCATTTTGAAAATAAACTGCCGCTCATACAATTTCACCGTCAGGTCGGTTGACGGCCCAGAGACAGGATCAAGCTGAACTGTCTCCAAAAATCACAAATTTTGTTAAGGTTGAACACACAGGTTGATCGTAAGATTTCGTTTGTCTCTCCAAAGCACTTTTGGAATTTCACATGATTACCACTACACGTTTTGGGACAAATGAATTGCTTACCTGTTTTTGGAAAAAAAACCTGTCAATTGCTAAATTAAAGTACAATGCTGATGGGAATAAGGGGGAAGTAGGCAACAATCTCGTGATTATTTGTACCAATTAGGAATGGAAAGAAAATGAAAATATGAACAAAAAAAGTGATTTCCAAATACCTCTATAAAAGGTGAGTAAAGGTGGATTGAGCGACGTGGATTAAACGTGAATTTTGTGCATCAAAGACTTAACAATCCTAAAATCGGTTGAACGTTTTACGTTGTAGAGAATTATTTCCTCCGATAAACAAATCAGGCTCTTAATTAATAAGTAACTACTTCCTAACTTGGTCAGCATCACTTATACGCTGAACTCCATAAAAACAATTGAGATTTTTCATTTTAATTTTATAAGAAAAGCGTTTGCTTTATTCTTAAAGTTGACCTTAATTGCAGGTGTCCGACACCGTGGTGGAACCATACAACGCCACACTCTCGGTGCATCAACTGATAGATAACACCGACCAGACTTTCTGCATTGACAATGAGGCACTCTACGACATTTGTTTCCGCACGCTGAAGCTCACTAACCCCACCTACGGGGACCTTAACCACCTAGTCTCCGCTACTATGTCGGGCGTGACTACGTGTTTGCGTTTCCCAGGTCAATTGAACGCCGACTTGCGCAAGCTCTCCGTCAACATGGTGCCCTTCCCACGACTGCACTTCTTTATGCCAGGTTTTGCGCCCCTTACAAGCCGTGGTAGTCAACAGTACCGTGCTCTTACTGTGCCTGAGCTGACCCAACAGATGTTTGACGCAAAGAACATGATGGCTGCTTGCGATCCCCGCCATGGTCGCTACCTCACCGTCGCCGCGGTCTTCCGCGGCCGCATGTCTATGAAGGAGGTGGATGAGCAGATGCTGAATGTGCAGAACAAGAACTCGAGTTATTTCGTGGAGTGGATCCCCAACAATGTCAAAACCGCGGTGTGTGACATTCCACCACGAGGACTGAAAATGGCGGTCACGTTTATCGGTAACAGCACGGCTATCCAGCAGTTGTTTAGACGTGTGAGTGAGCAATTTACGGCCATGTTTAGACGCAAGGCCTTCCTCCACTGGTACACTGGGGAGGGTATGGACGAGATGGAATTCACTGAGGCGGAGTCTAACATGAACGACCTTGTGAGCGAGTATCAGCAGTATCAGGACGCCACAGCGGATGATGAAGGAGAATTCGATGAAGATGAGGATGCAATTCAAGACAATGATTAAAAATATGTTTATGTTCCACAGATGTAGCCCACTTGTCGTCCTTTTGTCTGCGTGGCTCTTTACTCTACCACTCTAGTAACACTTGTAGTACAATTTCGACCGCCCTATTCCTCCCACAAGCGCCTTAACGCATGTCTGTATTTTGTGTTCCACAAATAAAAATTTTCTTCTGTTAGGTGATATGTGTAGAGTCCTACCACTGCTCGCTCGACATTCAGATGGCATCAATTTTTCTCTTGGCCATTTCAAAAGATTCAAAGAAGATATGGCTTCGGTTCCCATTGAATTCAAAAACATCTTAAAAATTATGGCTGATTATTCCTTATTGAAAAGTACGTTGGATATCTTATTTGAAAAGTGCTTCGTTCCACGGCCACGTTGGCAATAGAGGAGGCATGATAAGGAAAAGAAGTTCTCATAAAGCAAAACGCGCAGAGCCATAAGATAAAAAATGGCAAAAGGGTTTGTCATTCTTTAGTTGACAGGTTTTGTAAGAGCGCGAAAGCGTCTGACAGGATGAACAATTGATATTGAGCCATAGGTATCGAGTATGAACGTGTTTATCATCAATTTTAAAATGTAATCAGAGCCCGCAAAGTTGAATAAGCATGCGATAAATTTTTAAGCAGTTCTCGTTGTTTCAGCTAGATGTGATACATTACAATCTGGTTGCACATTGTTTTTTACGTCTTTGAGAGTAAGCATTGGCAGCTGGGATGCATAGGTTACTTGCTGGGGAGAACGTGTATTGAAAGGTAGGAACCCATTAAATCCCAGGGTATTGCTCATATGCATATGTAAAATATGATACTTATATTATCCTATTGTGAAATGGACTATATCTTAAAATGTGGCCATAAGTTTCTACAAAGAGTAACTAAAGTGCACAGCGTCCAACATTTTTAGCGTGATAGTGTAGCATACAGTAGGACCTGGGGCTACTGGTATGTCCCAGAGGCCAGTTCACCTGGCAATGGCTCAATGGTGGGGAACCAAAGTAGCCTCTTTACCAAAACCGAGGCTTAAGAAACCAAATTACTGCCCAATCTCTTTCCCTTTTAAGTGTTGCCGCCGACGATTGCCTTGATCAACCTCCCGCGTCAACCATCACAAAGTGATCAGTGCTGTAAGAAAAACACCCACGACTCAACCGCGACAGTCATCGAATTTCCATGCAGCTAAGAAGACGCCTAAGCATAACTTCACTGATCCCTTTTGGCAATTCAATGGGATCTGGAGTATAGCCCTGTATGAAAACTGGATTCGGGGACAGTGAATGTACTAAACCACCACGCGTGTCCATAGCTAGCCGATGGACACTGGCTTTGAAGTAGAATCATGTAACAAAGGATGGGATTTACCATAGTCCCATGGGAGTTGAGTTTTGCTTCTACTCCTCCTTGACACCTTGTTCTCACTTTAGATCTGCCGAGCCATATCAATATGGGTTCCATCCAACGAGCATAGAAGTAGATAAAATATCGAGTTCTCGCATATTTGATGTCTTTATGCAGATACGGCAAGCAGCTCCGTAACCAGCATTTCCAGATGTTTCATGGCTAGGTTCGCTTTAGTTCTTAATTTCTTTCCCGCAGAACACGGGACTGGGGTAGTTGCCAAACGTACGCGTCATCTTCAGCCCTTCTGTTAGGGACCGGTAAAGACGCGAGAAGATATAATGCTTGGACGTGATATGGATTGTAGGCATTTAAGTACACATAAGTGCGGTTTTCATCCGCAAAATTTCTAGAGTCCTCTTAAATTTTCCGGCAAAAATTAGGTACAATACTACAAAATATGATATAGATGTCGAAAAAACACCACTAGGACCAGACCCGGGGGAATGGAAAAGATGAATTGTCCACAAATTTGGTAATAATTAAGCATAATTCACTTTAGCAGAGACCATAGTGCTGCACTCATAAGTAGCTTCGTTTTTAAAATCCGAATTCCGCTTACGCACCTCATTAGCCAAAGTGCGGATGATTACCACGTCTACACTCGCTTTGGAATTTGGTAAAGAATAGAAAGGCCACATATTTGCAAGCTAGAGGCAACTTACTTGCGAACGATCCTTTACACTCAAGAGAATGGTTATGGGTACCACTCTACTTCCAATTTTTCAACTGCCACAAGAGGCTCCATTTTGTTCAGTTAGACTGCAACTTTGAACTTCCTGGGACGTTATTTCTACTTGACACCTAAGAGTAAAATGTGATGATTGTATTGTATCGCCCTAAAATAAAAAAAATATACATATTTGACTCAACATTTTATGCGAGAACTTTGCTAGCCCCATCTGCCCTAGAATTAAAAATTGGGGTGGGTCTAATGCTAAAATTCCAGGATTTAAGGTCATTGGCAGTGCTTAAGCGGCTGGTTCACCACTGCAAAATCCACTTTCCTGTTGAATACTTCCTGTCTTAGGCTCTTCCTAGTAATTGCATATTCATTACAGCCTCAGAAAAGCGTCCTCATAAAACTAAATAAAATTTTTAATTTTACTGACAAAACTTAGTAATTCTAATTTATTTAAATTTTACAAGACGAAAAACTAGGTACAGAACACTGCGATTGAATTATCTCGACATCAGTGTTGAACGCCCGGAGGGGCCATGACGCAAGAGAAAATGGCACTGAGATTGTCGAACAAAAGCATTTCACATCTTAATTAAATCCACAAACAGATTCGTTATGCAGCCTAGTGCAAAAAAACAATTCTCGCTCAAAACTAAAAATACACAAAATATTTGAAGCCTTCACGATCATCAAAAGTGACGACCCAACGAAGTGTAAAAATAAGAAATGGAATCCGGTCACTGATGCGTTCCCATGAGAGACGAATGGTTACTGCTAGCGGTCGGAGATTCGGTGTCTAGCTAGCAAGGACCTGAAAGCGAAGCTGCAAATAGTCTGCTTCTCCACAAGGATTGGAAAAGATGCATGTACAGTGGTAATGCAATTCCCAGCCCCTCCAATTTTTACCACATTATGAAGGCCTGAAGAAAATTTTACGGACTTACTTAGACTCTGTGAACTTTGCCATGGCCGAGTGAGTTGTTCTATGCGCCCGTGAGAGAAGAGAGCTGGAATAAAGAGGGCTTCATCCTTAAAATTCAAATTTATGCGGCTATCAACTATATACTCCACTCCATGACTGAGTAATTAGCAAAACAAGTTTATTAGATCTGCAGTGGAAGTTCGCCTCAAATTCGGGCTCATTTCTGCAATCGTTTTATCTCTGTGTAAGTGGCATTGAACTATGAAGGTTAGCGTGACACCCAAAACAGTGATTGCATAAAATAACAACAACTCAAAAGCAGGAGTTCAAGGGTGGGATCAACTGCAGTGTAGTAATCGATGGCAATCATACAACAGGTCCGAATACCACAAAACGATGGAACAGCTACAAGCCATATGCCCCGAAGCATTCTTGTCCTACCTGACGATTTCAAAACACCAAGTATCCCAGACCGTGTGCTAGCGCTGGAAAACCTACAGGGCACAGAGAACTCCTGAAAAAGAAATTTGAAGTTCTAGCTTCAATTTCCTTGGGCTTACCTCTAAATTCTACCCATTCATCTAGGCACATTAGGCAAAATAATCTGAACATTTCTTCGTTTTCGGCAAGGACAGTATTAAGTTCTCCATTATCTTTCACCATTCTAAAGGCTTTAAACCTACTTCTGTAAACAGTAAGATGTTGCGAGGCGCTCATTTTGGATTCGAGGCTTCTACCAACCTGTTTTTGCCAGCTTTTGTCTCAAACTGAGTGAATGTCAGCTTTTGGTCTTTGATTATGGTCTCCCTATAATGTGTTTAAAGTGGACAGAACCGTCGATCACTTCTATCCACCCTTTTTTACTGACATTTATTCGAAGTTTGCAGTCCCCTGCATTGTAGCTTCAGGAAGTTTGATAGGATTAGGATTAAGCCATTAGAAAGGTGCTGAGGCAACTAGTGAAGAGTGCGTTGCCTACAACCGTTCAGGTACCAGCTTAAATTAACGTCCGTTTCGACTCCTCTCAAACGTGATGCTTAGACTCCTTGAATTTGTGCTAATTTGCATTTCAAACTCAACAGTTTCTTCTTAAAATGAGGTTTTTTTCACAGTTGAGTCAGAAGATATTCCGCACTAATTCTACGGTTCGCGAATCTTCTTTAAGCTTGACTTAAAACGTACCAAGCTTGAAAATGCTTCGAGAGATTTTACTGTGATTGATGATTTTTTCGAGCTCTTTTGTTTTGACATCCTTCCTTTTCACTTGAATGCTTTACCCACTGCCCTTCAGGCGGTGATGCACCTTATTGCCACCAACTTTATAAAAGTTGTCATTCACTAAGATGATGCTGCTGTGCCTACCTCTACTATGAAAATTCATGATTAAAATTGACGTCTCATTCAGCTTTTCGAAGTGTATATTTGGTGCTTCACAGTTTTATGTTTCGTGTATGTTTGGTAAATAGGAAGGGCTTATAAGCCTGACATTAATCGCTTTCCTCACTCGCTAAAACTACATTCTCAAAAATGCTTAATGAATTTTCACCTCTAACGGGTTCTGTTACCGTTCTATTGCAAACTTTACTAAGCTAGCAAAGCCTTTATTTACATGCTTTGGCATAAATAAAATGTAAATTAGGGAAATTCTTCTCAATTTCCATCAACCTTAATCCGAGATACCGCACCGACGGGTATTTGCGCAGTGTTGGAGCAAGATGGCTGTCCTGTTTTGTGTACTCGGTGTCTTGGCTCAAATGAACGTGGCTATGCTCAAATACATAAGGAAGCGTCTTTTGGTGCACACTTCACGACTGACACTGACCACTGAAATTTTATCCAAAATCCCCACAGATTGTTGAAAAAATTCCCTACTGCAATGCTTCAGTGATGCACCACCTGCTCACTCCAATGACATCCAACATTGCAGTGTCAAATTCATTCCTCATACCGGCCATCTGTCTTGACACACTATTGCTGGAGGAAGAAGTGCGTCCGACTGCCTTCCGGCACGATCATTACCGAATCTATGAAGTAAGCTGAATCATGACACTCGGGAGCAGTACCATGCTATTTGGGATTCATTCCAAAAAGGCCGAAACACGAAATGAACAACGAAGGTTTACGTGAGGAGATTGAGGTTACGCCTGATGGATTACTTTGTCATGGGGATCTAGTCGCTGTTGCTGTAACATTGGCATTAGCAGCCTTAAAGGGCTGGGTGTGGAGAAAGTGAGACTCTTAGCTCTTCCCACGTGCTGGTGGATTACTGATCGTGAGGAATAAAATTGGCTTTTATTTCGGTCTCACAATGCTCTTCTCACGCCTGTCAAGGGGTTGTTAAAACTGTAATCTGGAATGTCTCTTTTAATGTTTCCGTCTTTGCTATATAGTGCCTAGTTAATAGAAAAATACCCAATGGAGTGAACAACGGCAACTAGTCGAATTCGTGATTTGTTTCTTCCTCGATGTGTACGAGGTGAGCCAAACCAACGCTTCAAGACAGCCGAATTTTTTTTAATTCAATTTCATGTAACCATCTCGGAATGGCTCCTAAGTTCTACCACAGCGACTTGGATAGCATGGGATAACATAAACATTTCCCACCTCGTTACGTTAATAGTCCCATCTAAGCGCCATTTCAAGGCTTCGCCCTCGCATAGTCGCAGCTCAACGAACTTCCACTTCTGCTCGTAGCAAGTGTGTGCGCGCCAAAGGTCAACTCAATTTTCAGCCCGGGTAACGCGAACCGCATAGGAGTCAATTTGAATGTCGTGAAAATTACCCTATCCTAACATACCTCTCGTCAAGAGAAATAGGCACCCACCTGGGCGATCTAGTTCAACTCGATGACTCCCGGCCGCAGGGATTAGAATGGTCAGTTAAACGTTAAGACACAACCAGTTTCCAGAATAACTCCCAATTTTCTCCCAGATATGCAGAATGAAACGAACGAAACAAGGTCAATATGATCCGCGCTGCGGCAACATGCGGCATAAAACCTCAAACGCCGAGGGCACGGAACCTAGAAGAACAAGACTTCGATCAGATTGCCTAAATATTATTACTATTAAGGACGTGGACAGGGTAAAGTACTTTAATTTGCCAAGCTTCACAAAACCACAATTTAAAATCATTGCATGCTCATAATACACCACGTTTCTTTCCTTCCAAGTGGTAAGACTTGAGGAGATACCAAACTGACAAGCGGAGCGGGAGAAAGAGAGGAAGGACAGATAGCGTGCGGGTGGTATAAGAGAGGTCACGTCAGGTGGTGTCGACGGTGCAAATCAGTGCTGTAGGGCGGCGAAAAAGAGGAACAACAAGACGACAATTGATTTGGCAGCTAGTCGGACTAGTAGCACGAGCCGTCCGGTGGCTGATCCAACTTAGCATTCTCCTTCTGTGTCATCATGGTTCGAAGATCAAAGAGGACGTTGCGAATCAACATTCCTCGACGCCAAGCCCGAAGGGAAGGAACCTTTGAGTTGTCAATCTACAATAGAAAAATAAGCCAAGGCTTGACAAAATTTGGGCCGATTAAGTCAGGTAATATTGAAGGCCGAATTATGACATCGAAATGGCGAATGTCCATAAGCAAAATAAGTGATAACATTGAGATTTACTTGTGCAAATCTCTGGCAATTCAAACATTAGCAACTGACGCCTTCACTATGCCATACCTGTTATTGGTTTGCAAGGAGGCAATATGCACGTTTAATGGCATTCACATGGTCAAAGTGTAAAAGAAGCGGTAGTGGAAATTTACTATTATCTTGGTATGTGCTTAGGAGTTCTTAAACATTTGGAGAACAAGTGAAAGAACAACACTGATCTTATCACAGCATCGTAATCGACAAATCAGCCATCAAAGGTGATGACGACAGCAGCTGATGCTCCAATCAAATTGACACTCAGCAAGGTTTATTGAAAAGGAATAGTCGCACTTTTGACAGCATAGAACTCGTGCAAATAGCAGCATGAGTTTGGTGAACGAATAAAGCTACACATTTGCATTTCATTAATCACCAAAACGAAAAGTCAACCAAGTCCGATGGTAAATCTACCTTAAGTTACAAAATGCATTGCACTTTGAACACTCATTGTACCTGCACGATATTAGAACGGTTCATGTGCTCCTCAATCCATTAACTCTGGGTATACCGATGATTGATGTAATAAAATGACGCACGCGTGTGCGTGGTGGAAACGAAGCACAAAAAAGCTTTCAAAAAGTTACAAGAAGTTTAGAGAGCTAGTAGATGGAGGACTCGTCCCAATGAACAACAAAAGGTGAAGCTACAAATTTCAGAAGAGCAATTTGATCTCCGTTGGCAAACACCTCAATTTAGAGCGCACCACTTTTGCAAGAAGGGTTACTTTTCGACCATCAGAGAATAACCAAATATTCACAAACTTTACAAATGACAAAGAAGTTCGGAATAATTGTATGTAAAAATCAGGACCTACCTGACCACCGCCGCCAACTCCATCCATATTAATTTGCGTAATAAATCTGCAAGTAGAATCGAGCTTTCTTAAGTTTAATGCAGGATATTAAAAACCAATTCAATATATACATAACTTGTTACCATTCCTCCCCTACTTAGGTTAAAAAGTGAAAGATTCTGAAGTCATGAAATGCATTTAAGAGCTTTTTTTCGTCAGTGTAAAGATGATGTAGCATACGCGTCTGAGCAGCAAGGTGTGAAGCGCTCTTGAGAAAACATGGAAGGAGACAAAAAAGACCCAGGTGGCAATGATGTGACGAGGATTGCCACGTGGTGATTCGTAAGCTAGTCGAGGCATGCAAAACGCCACTAACTCCATTTCAACAATAGGGTAGCGTATCAAAAGTCTCTAATCAATCCTAACATTGGAAATATGCTGAATAGCAATTGATTACCATGTCGTAATAGGTTATTTTTTAAGTACTCGATAATATTAACACAAAAGAATGGAAGTAAATGGAATAAATCGACCTATTTCTCAAATAATCAATTGCATAGAGGAGTAAAATTAAAGCCCTATATTTCTGGTTGATCCCATAAATACGTCACTAAGACGATCCCAAATTTACAAAGAATATTACCTGACTTCTGGGGGCTTATCCGGGTAGTCATTCCCGCAAACTATCTGTAAATTGTATATTTTATTTTGAAATGGAGTTTTGGCTGGCCCTATAATCATGCCATTCCAGGTTGTCAATGTATTGTCGTCATTATTTTCAAGGCCCCAACTTATTGTGCCATCATTTGATCCTTTCTGCCCTGCCTCCAACTCGTCCATCAGGTAGAAAATTCGAGGTACAGTCACTAAAAAGTAACAATTAAGTATAAATTAAGTGCTATTTAAGCTCAGAGACGAGTGTCGAAAAAAAATGCACTAATAATAGTGGGGTGGAAATATTCACAATAAGGTTCGGTTTAAAATAACTAATGGGCCGCAAAATTGCGCCCCATTTCTGAAAACAAAAAATACTTTCCTTAAAAGAATTGAAACCATGTAAAAGTGAAAAATGTAGCATGCATGTTCCAGAAAAACACTGCGACCGAATAGGTTTGTGTATCACCCGCAAGAATATTAATACCCGGAAAAAACCCCTAGGGGGAAAGGATGAATCAAAGGAACAAAGACTGTGGTATATTCGAAAAGTGGAACGTTACACGCTGTTAAAATAAACCTAGGGACAATACACAAGGAAACCCAAAGATGACTCAAGGCCCCAACAAAACGTGTAAGAACATTTCCAATGAGATAGATAAAGTGTGACAACTTCAAGACCAGAGCCACTCTGCTTGCCTGGTGCAAAACAGGGTTATTGATAATTTACAGAGACTGAAGAACACGGGCACAGCAAACTGCTTATCAAGTTTGATATATATGCGGGAGAAACCCCAAATATGGCGGAGCTTCAAGGAATTCCATCTTCCTCTTAACTGTACTAAAGCAACACAATAGACCAGGCCTCCGCTATTTACTCCCAAAGAAATAGAAATCGAAATCCACGACCTCCGTGACTCACCGGTCTGGCTCATCTCTGATTACTGCGGTGGGTGAACGATCTGGTAAAACAACCATCAAAAGTCCAATTAGAGGTGGCAGGCACCAGCTTTTTCCTACACCAACTTTAAATATTTTAATATGACCTAGAATGTTTTGTTACGTGATAAAAAAATTTTGCCCAAAACGATGTCTAAGTAAATAACTAACAAGAATCAAGGCGCTAGCAAGAGCTGCTTATTAAAAGAGAGTACATTTTTAGCATTGTTGTGTAAAATGTCTGCATTACCCGATATAATGATAAATTTTCTGCCTGAGCCTAAAAAGTATTTTTTAAATTATAAACCAAACGTTTAAAAGGCATTTAAGAAAAAAAGTAGCATTAATGGACTTTTTGACCATTACCTACTTTATTTCGCTTATTTAATGCGTTCCCTCATAATCAATGGAGACTTATTGACCTTTAGTTAATCTGCACAACTTAGCCCCGCCTCTCAACATGCTCGGTCTCTATGGTGGAGGTGTTCCCTACGTACTTGAAGTATAGTTTGGGTAAATTGAGTAACTACGCAACATTGAGGAACTTTCAAAACTACATGACCATTTTTTGAGAACCTTTCTAAGGGTTACGTTCCAAGAACATTTCTGCACACTGGGCCTTCGCATTTGTTTAAATTTACTTTAACTAATAAATACTAGCATTGCATCGGAAGCGACTCGCTTCTGCTTTAGACTACGCTCTTGTCTCCTTCTCTAGTTTGTCTGGGTTTAGGTACGCCTCAGGTAGTCAGGGCATCGCATATCTGTTACCCCGAGATGGGAGGGTGGCGTGTAGTTCGTTTTTGCCTTTTTACCTGATTACTCCAAGCTGTTATCCACTTGTCTTTTAGCGCACGGAAATGGCTCCTTATCGGGTCATCGTTTGTCGCGACGGGTTTTGTGGTCAATTGGAAAATGGACTATTTAGAGCAGCTTGTACCATCTCGTTAATATGCGGGACGTTTAACATTCTCTTCGACCCTGGTGGTCCCTGGGATAGGGATTTGGTTTTGTTTATCCTCGCTAAATATGGCCTTAAATCTGAAGACATCGACTTTGCTATTTGTTCCCATGGCCACGTCGACCACATTGGTAATTTGAATTATTTCCCCAATGCGACTATCATCATCGGAACGGAAATAATGCGGCATGGTGGCGTCGTGAAGCATCATTTCTCTGAATCCAACCCCTTCGTAATTGACGAAAATGCATGTTCCCATGGGATTTTAACATTGCTTTTTCTTAGGTTCGTGTAATATACACTCCCGGACACACAACCAACGATGTCTCATTAGTTGTGGAAGGAGTGCCTAGTTTGGGAACTGTTGTTGTGAGTGGTGACATCTTTGAAAATCAGTGCGATCGGGAGAATCCAAATTTATGGAGGGATAACAGTCTGAACCCTGAATTGCAGGAGCGTAGTCGACGTCTAATTGCATCTTTTGCTGACTACATTATTCCCGGTCATGGATCAATGTTCAAGGTATGAGCAATTTATTGCTCTTTTTCTTGTTTTCTAAGTAACAGTACCCTAATAAACACTGTAAATGGGGAATTATTTTATGGCTTTTTCGTCTGTGTTGTCGATGTTCGAGAAGTATGTGCATTTGACTCGGCTTGTGCCTCTTCTTCATCATATAGAACTTCGAAGTCTCCCAGAGACAGGTCTTTAGTGGGTTTCGAAACCTTTGTATCTGGGACCTGATTATCCGGGACGACAATATTTAACACATCATCGATAAGTTTATACTTCATTATCCTGTCGAGTTGAGTTGTTGAACTTAGAGACGGTGAGGCATTTATTTCAATTAGCCAGGGTTTTAATTTATCATCGATGATGATGTCATAGCCGTAACACTCAAAACAGTGGCGGTCATTGTTGATTACATCCGTGACAGACTGTAGAGAGTGATACATCATCCAGTAAATCTCGTTAAATAACCTATCCGCAACTTCTTTACCTCGTGTGCCTTCAAGCCAGAGCCTAAGGTTATGGATGCTCCACTTTCCGCCGTGACGATGGTTATAATCGACAGCATGCTTTTGAATTGAAATATTTGTCAAGTGGACAAACATGTTTCCCAGTTCGGATTCTCTTTTGTCGTATCGCACTGTGCAGAAACGGCAGAAACCAAGCTTATTAACGTAGCACCTCAGCGGTCTAAACGATGTGACGAGAACATACATGCGAAGATCAAATTTCCTTCCACCAATAAGGAGGGGGTTTTCGATGTACCTGGAAATGACATACGTTTCGCGTGTCACATGCGGCAATGAAAATGCGTTTTTATTTGCAGCGCGACCTTCCCTACCCCACTTTTTGATTTGTGAAAGCCGATTGACGATGAAAATACCAACACCACGTGCTTTGGCGCTAGGTTTGACTATCCAAGTTGCGCGAGGATTCCTCTTAAATTCTTCGGCAAACAGAGTGTAGTCCTGTGGAAGCAGGTATGTGGTCGGGATGAAATCTAGGTACACGAATTTGCCGTTCTGGTCAACTGCCGCGATCGGATTTAGTGCCTTAGAAAGCTGTTTTCGGTATCTCTTTATATTTTTTACCATCAGATCCTTCCTCGTCAATTCATAATGGTTCGAAAAGTGGTTTATTTTCTTGAAAGACTCAGTAATACTTCGGTATGACCGTTACCTGATCATCACATAATCTTATCCCATGATCTGTGCTGAAAATTGTACGTGCGCTTACAGTTGATGCCCAAAATATATTCCAATGTTCCTTTGGGTCGACTTCTACCCAGTTTCGGTTTTGAAAGTTACTCAAAACTACAGATATGTCCCAATCGCATGCATAGCGCACGTCTTGAGAAGTTATTCGTTGTGTCGAATGCATTTGCTACCACGGTAATTATTCCATTTATTTATTAAAACGAAACAGTCTTAATTCTGTGACTTAATAGTTCGTGGTGAGCATGCATATAAAAAAGCACAAATATTTAAAGGGTTAAAAGCATCTTCTCTACTACTTCTAAAACGAGATGCAAAATTGTGTGATAGAATTCTGTTTCCCGAGGTTTCTTCGTTGTATAGAGGTAAAGGATATTAAAAATCGAGTTTTTTGCCGATGATTATCTTGATTGTGCAGTATTATATGCGATAAGGGAATCATGTTTTCTGGCTCTTGCGAATAATATGGTAATGGAAAGTATCGACATAAACGTGTTCCTTGTTTTGATTTTAAAATCCAAAATATCTAAAAAGCACTTCAGAGTAATAGAATTTTATATTAAGCTTCCCATTTACCACTCTATAGCACTAAAAATGCGGAATAGAAACTCCTTGACCATGTCATATTACCAAGACTGTATTGTGGGACGAGACTCCTCGGTCTCCGCTTCCCGATTCCTAGCGTTCCTAGACAAGCCCGATTGGTTTGCTTTGGACATCTTTATTAAAGACGACAAGATGTATAGGGAAAATACAATATTCAAGAAGGAGGGGAACCGCAGTCACTAGGTAAGGGAGAGGGCAATCCTGTTACCAGGTTCGAATTTCCTGCTTGCCTCCTCCCTGAAAGGCACATTAAAACAGCATAAGTATTATAGTATTGTAGTGTCCCGTGACTCTGTGAAGACGAAGGAAGACACAATACACGGGTAGAATATATTTTCAGCACAGAAAAGGTGTCTTGGCTATTGGCATGGCCCGAAAGGTTAGCCCATCCAGCGAGATACAAGAGGGCTAATCCAATGTACAAAAAAGTGGCGCCTCGCCTGTTTGGGGATAAACCACTATCGTATTACAGTATTATTACCAATCCAATGTAATTACTAGTCCCAGCAACCCACTCTGACACCACCTCTTTTTCTTAACTAATCGATAAGCTATTGACTACAGTGTACAATAAACACACCGAGAAGGAGCACGTATCCGCCCTCGGCTCTCGTCGACTACGTGAACTCAGAAGTAACACTGCCTAGTCTCAGATTGAATATTGTCGCTCCTTCACATTCACAACATAAGGTGTATCCCTTCTTCCAATGAACTTACTGAGGTGTGCACCATCGACAACCTCAAGAGCTCACCTCAATGCCTTTGTTATGACCTGTTATTTAGGAAAATGTTTATTGTCAGTAAAAAAGAGTTTGATAACACAGTTGTCCTGCCATAAAAAGATAATCATTAAATCCAAAATCATTAATTTCCGCAGAACCAGCTTCTGGGAATGAAGAGGTCAATCAATCCCTGAGCAGGAGGGCAGTTCTTCCTGGCGTACCACTCCATGGAGTAGAGACACATCAAAATGCCCATGCCCATGAACAAACCGGCCCAAAGTCCAACATTCCAAAGCCTCGAGCGTCCCCGTAAGTTGGCGATGGCAAAACCAACTCCACCGAATATAATAAAGAGGACGGGGTAAAAGAACCTAAAGACCACAGTGAGAACATATTCGTGCACAATGGCGGAAAGCATAAATACGGCCGTTTGCGCCAACATGCGTCTGTTTCGCCCACTTATCGCATAGACATCACGATAAACGTAAGTATAGAGCCAGTCGTGCACCACGACATTCCAGGTGCGATAGTAGGCACTGAATGTAATGCTGTTCCACCAGTCCTTGTAGAAGAGTCGATCACCAAAGCGCAAGAGCTCTGCAAATGCATTCAGCCAACAATGCAAAAAGGCGTAAAAATTGATGAGTAGGAGAAGTGCACCGGGAAGCATGCAACCGAAAGATGATGTGATCAGCTGGCGTAGAGAGAAGTTGAATTGCTCCGAACGTCCAAAGTTGGCGAAGTAAGCGAAGCAGAAGCGTGCAAAGATGAAGTAAGTGTAGACTATGCAGAGGCCCATTTGAAGAAGGTTTATTGTAACGAAGTGCCAACGAATGTAGGGAGTGCGGGGATAGGCACTGCGGTAGACAAGGGTGGGAGCGAAAAGAAAGTAGAGGTACTGGGAGAAGGGAGGGATAGGTATTCCGTTTGACATCGTGATCTCCACTTCCTCCGTCACACTGTCACCACACGCGCTGACCGGGAATCGCTCGTCCTCGGTTAACGGTCGCCGGCGACGACGACGAGCCTTTTCGTGCTCGCATTCCTCGCCCGAGAGCATTGCGCTCCCAATGTTGGCACGAACAAAAGCGTGAGACTTCATCATTAGCCGAATCTGCTCGAGGCACACTATTGCCGTAGAAGAAGGGGCAATATCGTATTTAAATATGAAGACCACCGGCAGTATTGCAAAGGCCACCTAAATTAAAATAGTCATGATCGTAATAACGCCAGATTTGATCTCTTTTATTATGGCCGCCATAGTTTGGCCACTGTTTTAAGATCTTGGAGATTACACTGCATTGGTCAAAACATCACATGACCTTCGCATGCAAAGCGGCATTATTTTATCAACAATTTTAACCAGGTTTCCGATTAACGTCCATTCGTGACTCCAATTAATGACTATAAGCTGGAACACGACTGACTTTAGTAACGGCAAAGTAGCGGAGCCTGATGGTACTGGTAAATTCTTATCAATAGCGCTGTCTGTGGTAACTTCACCGCTGACGCTGTCGGTTTAAAGGATGTTTACAGAGGCATCTGGTGGTAATGTAACCAAAATTGTCAACAAATTCGTCAAATAGGTAGGATTCTTCATAGAATCTCTGTCACGGCTTGTGGGTGCAGGCATGAGAACTCAGTGGGAGCGTTAGAAAAGTGAAGTCCGATAAAAGTATCTCAACCATATCCACAGCCGTGAACATCAAAACTCACTTGATAGATAACGTAAAGAATGACGAAGGCAAAGTCGAAGTTAGTGAACTTGTGGACAGGTTTCCTTTTCGACGCCCACATTATGAAGGCGAGGTAGACGAAAAGGCTTGTTGAAAGAAACATTGTGATCCAGCAGTGGAATACGTTGAAGAAGCCCTTAAAAGTCCACACAAGGAGTTCAAAGTGGTAGACATGCACCACACCGCCCTTCTCCACAACATCCGACAGAACAGTGTTCAGCGCAAAGATGAGCAGAACTGCGATGAAGATGTGGTAGACAGTTTCGATGTGGGAGATTTTAAAAAGGTCCGTCAGAACCGAATTTCGGTGGCAGAAGTTCTTCTCTGGAAGCCATTTATCCGATCCCGATGTAACCCTCAGTTTATCTGACATGCTGTAAGGGCAAAGAAGTCATTGGATTTCAGCCTTCGATTGAATATTACGTGATTATTTCATCTGATTTGCATATGTGACAATAGGGGACTCACGCAAGATGTCCTAGCAAACTGAAATGCAAAAACCCATAAAGTGGAACATCTTGTAATTTTCCCACGCTACTGGTTCAAAAGTAGATAGAAAGGTCGGCCTTCTGAATTTATTTATGTAACGTAAAGGCACTATTTAAATCAATTTTGAAGGTGATTTGCCTTAATCTCACCTTTTAAGTATCGAATTGAGTTTTCGGATTAGCAATTGGTGCCAAAAGTGAAGCCCTCATACCACCCAGAAATCTCGCCAAATTCCGATAAGTTGCTTAAGGAGGGGTTATAACGAAATTCACCTATTTCACCACACTAAAATAAACGCTGCCAAATTCTTCCATTCATTCGAGTAAAATTGGTAAACAGATTTAGTTATTTGAAAAAAAAAAAACAGGAAAAGCCTATTTTATATGCTTGATACCTATACGAGTGATGAGGAAAATCCTTGTATAAAACAAATGACGCAAGAGACGCATTGCATCCAACCCTCCGTCATTTTTTCTCATTGAATGTTTACTGTGACGCATTTGGAACGCCAAATAAGTTCATAAATCTCACTAATTCGCACACACAAACTAAATTTAAGACTTGAATATGGTGATTAACGAATTGGAAACCTTTATCTAATAGTGATAGCCTAGACGTAAATAACCTGTGTGAATACCAGAACCGAAGGAGACATCCAAGGCTTTAGACGAATGTGCTAATTGCATGACATGCTTGCACTCCTTTAAAAATATTTCCCAATGGATGTGTCGATGTAATCAAACCCCTTGAGAGAGATTAGTGCATTGTAGCTTACTTGGATTTCAGCCGGTTGGAATTCCCCACCAAATTCTCCGCTTCGGAGTGCTTCAGAATACGGTCCACAGCATTCTCAAGAACTCTCTGGAGCTGGTAGCTGAAATCTTGTGTAAGTTCCGTGCGTAGCTGATTGTACAGCTCCAGGGCAAGCATGGAAGTCTTTCGTCCCACCTCGCTTTCATTAGGGCTATCTGAGGTATCCACCTCATTTATCAGCTCAGTATGGTGAGAACAATTGTGTAGGCTCGTCTGCAAGTCTGGTTCACCAGAAACATTAGTTATTTCGTCCTGTGTGGCCGTATCTTTTCCAATGTTAGTAGAGTCGGAGGACTGACATTTAAAAAATTCCACACCGCTTACCGGTTTTGTCAGGTGGGAGCGATTCCGCACTTCCGTCTGCGGCTCAGGGTCATGGAAGGTATGCTCTATTTCGTCCGTTACGGTTTGGGAAGTATCATTGTCACCATGTTTCGAAGAATGAATAGCCGAAGACGCCATCTCATTTACCGGCTTCTTGATGCAGGAGCAATTATGCACCCCTGTTTGGGGTTCCAAGCCGCCTGAGACCTGCTCCGCTTCGTCGGGCGCGGTACTTAGGTTCGCGGTGTCGGTCATTGGATTGCACTTTTCAAGAAGTATTTTCTAATTTAAAACAGAAAGAGAATGCATTTGCAAAAAATCTTAAAAGGAAACATTTTCAGTTTCTCTTCGATTCCTTTTCTACTACGGACATTTGCTGATTTTACTAGAAACCAGAATCAATTCACGATTGACAGTTTGAATGGTGTCAATGGTTAGCCGCTGGCAAAAGCAAAACAAGTTTGCTTCAAATCGTACAGATGGCACTTAATCACGGCAGGTTGAGGAACAAAATGCAAACGATCCTCTCAGTTTACCTAAACACTGTTGACAGATTTATCCAAATAGACTTTCATAAACCATATTCCTTTTCTAGTACAATGGTTTTGTTACCGGTGGAGTTGTCAAAATGGTGAAAAGTCTGATCGGTTTTATGCGCTTAGAAGTTTCGCGATCCAATGGAAGTTAAACTGTCCTGACAAAAATCCAAATTGTATTGCCTGCTTAAAATCCATTGCAACTTTTATGGCAGGTGGCGGTGTAGCAATTTGATATTGGGTAGTGCTTCTAGGATGATCGACTCAATCTCAAACCTTTACGTAGTTTTGCGACATTTCGGAAGTCCATATAATTAGTAAAAGTTGCACAAAAGGTAAAGTTGTGTACAGACGATGTAGTTTTCAGTCTAAAGGTTTCCAAATGGGTGATTCAGCGGGAGTATTAAATACATCCGCTGACTTAAAAAGCAACATTAAATGCGGTTTACTACTGAAATGTTGGTGACACCGGTGTGAGATCTTACTCCAAATCATGGTTCAATGAAAATCACCGTGTCTAATAGCAAATACGCCTCAAAAGGTTGGAAGATTTGTCTACAATTTGTGGCGAACGTGGTATTTGATGCCCTCAAGATGGCCAGACAGGGGGAGTTATAATGTATGAAAAAGTTATTACTCTTTTCTTATGCGCATTGTCAAAATACGTTTCGTTGAACAATTTCAGCTAAACATATGGGGTGTTCTGCTTATAACCTTCCGATTTGCTATTCAATCATCACTGAACGAGTTAGCAAGCCCCGAGAAGGAAAGAATTTGAGACTCCACGGCTATTAAATAGGCACTGCGTTACCTTTCTTGAGCCTTGTGTGGTATTCACCCGTATCCAATTCACTTTACAAGCATAAAACACGCATGCGCACTTAAAAAACGACTCTCCTTTAAATCCTGTTGATCTTGCGTTTAAACGTTAAAAAGTTTGCTAGACCCTGTGTAATAACAATGCAAAATAATGACGTTACTCCTGCTGACTTCTTCAGGGTCCTCGATCCCCTTCATCAAATGACCTTAAACAAAAATCATGATGTAATAACATATGGAAAGCAGAAATTGCTCGTGAACTCAATCAAACAACTTTCTACAGAAAGCCTTTAGAGCGCGTTTTACAAGCGCAATTCATAAGAGGATGGAGAATGGTGCTTCTAAAACGACTGGATTATCACAAAGGCATCGTGACAAAACAAGCGTTGAGCAGGCGTACCTTTCAAGCATTCATAAATATCTTGGCGTCAAAACATGGAATTGACACCTTGACAGCAAAAAAATTAAATCAATCTTAGTAAGCACCAAAAAAGGTAGAATTTTGTAGAATTCATGTAGTCTACTAGACTAAGTAGGCTTGGTTTCGCTCACTGACCCCTCTAACTGAAGTGCTACGCCGAAGGCCGCAAGTAGTTGCAGCAACCCACAGCATGATGGCTGAAATCAGATGGTAAACCTCATGTAGTGTGATGCGGATGAACTCTAGCCGTTTGCGGAGAGAGATGTTGGTTACTCACACGATTCTGATGAAATTGACTGACTTTATAACTTTGTAGGAGGTTACACTGACCTCCTGTCTGCTCTGACCAGCGGAGAGGAGTCACGGAGGCTCATCAAAAACTGGCTCAAGTAGATACGACGATAAGCCGAAACAAAATTACTATCTGCTTTCAGTCTAGAGCATGCAGTAGGTGTTCGAGGATAAAGATAATAAAGGAAAGAAGCACCACGCAGTAGCCGCGGCTTAGACTGCGTCCCAGTTCGGGGTTTGATAAAATGTGGAGCAAGTTTTGTAGTGGAAAGCTAAAGAGTTTTTGGGAAATTAAAGTTTCCTACCAGCTTAACGTGATCTGCTGGTAACGAAGACAATTGACTCTCCTCTACTAAAATCGCTTCACGAGAGTCTGGTTGATAGATTATGCTGCACCACGTCAAAAGTGAAGGTGATTTAGAAACCAAAACGGGCTTACGTTTGCCCAAAGGCTTTTGACTAGGAGTCAGGTAAAAGGCCTTTCTCTTACTATAGCGCATTTCGTGTTTTCTCAACTAAGAAAGCCAAATTTCATTACTTCACAGGGGTGCTAACTAACCATGACTCAAATGTTTTCAACGGTAAACCAGTCAACTTTTCAAACAATGTATTTACACTGGTGAAAACGGTTTATTCATAACACACCAAGGTGCAACAAGCTTTAAGTACCAACAGAGACTAATAAACTGGAGATAAATGGCGTCACCACCTTAAAACTATGCAGTTGAATTCAAGTACGCTTAATGATGGTGGATATGATTTTTCGCATAAATGTTACTAAATATGTGCATCAAGTGTGTGGAATGAAACTCACTCCAAGCGCGAGAATCTTCCTCCACGGTGGAACGGTCAGTCAAGAACTGCGCGCGTCAGTGCACGCTGAAATGAGTGGAGAGTTTGACAAGCCGCGGTCACTGCGGTGTGCTTATGCTGCACTCGTGTGTGCCGGCGGCGCGCTGATTGGTCCGTCACCGGTGTGCGAGATCTCGCCACCGCGCTCCTCCCGCAAGCCGCACTCGGCCTTCGACAGTCAATTGCGCCTCTCCGCACGCATCGATTTTCGACTGCGAGGTGTCAAGGCACCGCCAAGGCCACAACCTTTACATGCGGTGTAATACACTATGGACTAATTTACATTACAAAAGGAGCAAAATTTATTCCTTGGTAGAAGGCACTTGCGATTCAGCATCTAAAACTGCAGATAACCTCATACACCCTGATCAAGTTTAAAAGTCTTGGGTACTTTAATCAATTTCTCATTCGAGGAATGAAGATTTTTACCCCCTGGTTTCTAGATGCCATTCCGAATAAAGTAAATTGGAATGAAGGTTTTCAACAGGAAACTGACGTCAAAATCTAATTTTCCGTATTAATGCTCATACGACCACCTAGTTACCTTATAAACGCGGATTACCGAAATTCCGCGCGGGTTGCTTGGTATTTTCGGGTGATTAGCAGTCCATAATATTCCAGCTAAAACCACTGTTTCTGAAAAATATCGTCGCCGATATGTGAGTTTCACGTAAATTACAATGGTTCTGCTTCAGTATTAGCTATCACGATTACGGACACTGCCGAATATGCAGCGGAGGCGTCCACTCGGCTGCGTTTCTTAAGGAGTAATTCTCGGAGTAAAAAAGATTTGGCTCCCGCTATTTAAATTGTGCATGACTAAGATGCACGCACATGCCGACCTCTTTTGTAGACGGAGATGCAGCAAGGTGTAGGTCAAAAAAGTCATCTTCAGACCGATTACTCACCCCCTCTCCACGGTTGAGAGCGGAGCTCTTGAGGCAAGACCCGTTGTCTACAAAATGTCCAGCTTCTAAACGTAAGCAAAGCTGGGTATGACGGCATATTTGAACTTACTTCTTGAGCTTGGTAATCAACTTAGATGGCTGAATGGAGTATTTTTGCCCATGTGACTAACGCCAATTAAGTGTTTGATGCTCCTCCGACCCAGCGCATACCCTCACTCACTTTGTCAGGAGAGCTTTAACAACAAAAGCGTCACATTCTATTGGGAAAGAAACCAGTGATCTTGCTTGATGTTTGGATGTGCAAATATAAAGCGACTTGTTCACTGTGTGAAGTCTTGAATTTGGATGATGGAATTTACCGTTCAATGGCAAATGTTTCATACGATGCCATTCACTCGTGTGTCATCACCGCCGCCGCCCATTTTACCAGGTAGTGAAACAGGGGAAAAATGAATAGTGATCCCATGTCCAAAATTCCGTTACGATTGTAATGCTTTGGGTAAATAGTCAAAAGCTGCGGGTCTTACAACCCAACATCACAAAGTACATTACCAATATAACAGGCAACTGGGAGAAATCTAATCACCTGAAGACGCGTTTTGCATTGCAACATCATTAAGTGGGTGTTTGAAAGTGAAGTTTCATCACACCATTTCAGTGCTACCTGCATCACAACCCATGGCGCTATCCGTGGCGTGACTGAGGTCGCTTGAAGGTTAATCGCTTAAATTGACAAATGGAGGAGATACAAGTGAATTCATGCAACAGATGAAGCGAAATCACTTCAAGTCAAGCTGATTGCAATTCCTTCATTACTGTCCTCTCACAAGCAAGACAAGACCTCTCCTACTCACAAACATGCATAATTCCGAATCTGCGTGTCAGGTGCGTAAAGAGTACCCCAATCCCTATCAAGTAGTGCCTAAAGACTGATTCCAAAAAAGGTATTGAGAGCCCAAAATGCAAATCGTACATGACCGAGAGAGCCACTTCTGCGAGAAGAGAAACACACTGAGATCACGGTGACACGATTGACAGATGCTAGCGAAACATCCCAAAATCGAAGATCCGCAGTAAACTAATTCTAAGAGCATAACATTTTGGGTTCAGATTACAAGTGACATGTCTAAATCGCTGAAAGGCTGGTGCTCTCGGATCTTGCATGAACACTTGCGGCATATGGCGTTCACACCTGCACCGGAACATAAAGTAATGCTTGACATTAATCAGTTCCTAATGTTCCCATTTAAATATCCACAAACAAAAGTTCTGCTGTATCAAACATCCATAAGTTTCTAACGTGTAAAAAAACCCTGAGGTATTTCGAATTAAGTTAAAATAAAGAAACACTAGGTGTCACCCTTAATGATTCTCGATCTCGGTAAGCCGTTACCACAGCAAAGCCGACAAAGTTTAACTAATTTATGTAGAAGGTTGAAATCCGGCATCGCTTGTGACAAGTCCTCCGTACGCCAGCATCCTTAGTGGTTCCCTAACACCTTACCCACCGCGTGACACCGTGTCCAACTCGGGGAGGTTCAAGTGTCGGAAAGGGGGCTCTAGGGCCTACCTTGAGGAATTTTAAGTGGATTTCTGGAGTAAATATAAAATGCCAAACGTCATTTAAAAAATCCCAACTCAAAAAAGCATCGTAGGATTTTTCAATCTTTATTTTCAAATTAAAGACTTAATTTGCATATAAAAAGTTTCAAGTAAGAAGTGAAGTGAATGGCCAGTCGTAAGCTGAGGTAAGGGAAATGGTGCAAGAACGGTAACGCAGCAAAGTATCAAGACTTATTGGTTTTGCGAATGGAAGATAAGTCCGTACGTTGCCAAGGCGGTTTAGAATCAAAGCCTTTGGCGACATTCAGTTGATTGTAAGACCCGCGATTTGTGAGGGCAAAGAGTCCATGTCCCAAATAACCAATTGGCCATCTCGACCAATCGAGGTGACCTGAAGAGCCTTTGATCTATTGCCTTTCATGATACACAGCTCACTAAATAAGCAGTAAAATACCGCCATTAGATGAGCCTCAACATATCCTTGAACAGCATTTCTATCCAACACTAAAACGGGCGTAGATGTGTCACCTTAGACCCCCATTAAATCGGTTTGAATTTGCAAAGGATAGGGTATCTATCCACCTGGCTTGAGCCCCTAGACAAATTAGACTGAAGAGTTCGTTTAAGTATAGAAGGGTGAGAACACGTGACTTACGTGATAGAGTTTTGGTGAATAGTGGTAAGACGCGTATCAGCGGTGTCAGTGGTAGCCATACGATCAATATTTTGGAAATGGCTAAACGCCGAAACCTTGGTTGCACCTTGAGACTCACTCTTAAGGTCGATCTAAATAGAAACACAACGATATTCACGAACGCCAGTGCTTCACTTCAACTTTAGATGAGGCTAACCCGGTCTAGGAGGACAATATTTGTAAATGTCCGTTTAAAATCAAAACAACACTAAAATTTCTAATTAAATGACACCCATGAAGACTGATAATCGGAATATGGCATGGAAATTAGGCAAAAGAGTAGAATAAAACGCATTGCACTCAACGATTTACGGCAACTTTTAATTGGTACTTAGTTTATAAAAGTAAGCTGTTTTGATGTGAAGGTTTGGAAATTGGTAACGCTCCAGCTGAAAAATGAAAATAATTGGCATACGCTTGGCTTTTATACAGACAGCACAAAATCAAAATGAAATGCACCACAAACCTCGCATAGACAGCTTTTTAGGATATGTAATTTAAAGAACAGAAAGGATAGGTAGACCAGCAATAGGGTACCATTTTGCCTTCTGAAATCCCCTTCATCGGTCCGTAATAGTTGAATAGAATAGGACAGCAATCATGGCCAGCGCCGAGGACGCTGTTTGGTGCCACCCAGACGCAACTTAGAAGGGGAAGATAATGCGTACGAATAGTTCGCACGACCGGTGGGTTACCGGTCCTGGCCTCTGCAATGCTCAAAGAGCAGTCATGACCCGCCCAAGCCAGTTTATTACCATCAGCAGAAAAGCAGACACAGTGAATCCACGAGCCTGAAGCGCAGGAATGGAACGAGTAAAGAAGGTACGATTCTTAAGATCCGCGGGGAGCATAATAGTTTGACGCGACTCAAGAGAAGCATAATGACTTTGTCAGGCAACCTATTACAGATTGCGTTTTTTAATGCGCCTGCCCATAGGCTGCGTAGATGAGACGTAATTAAGATGGATAATAACAGAAGAAACCGGGAATCGGTACCCGCAAAATCACCATAAGCAATGCATACTCACCATGGCCATTGTAAGCCTCAAAAAGAAGAGTCTGGAAAGAACTTTTAACACCCCAGGCGGAATCACTATCCCCAGAATCCGTTTCTTTGATAAAAGCTGAGAAGACACGAACACGATAATCGGTGGAACCACAAGCTAAAAGAGTATTGTTGGGATGCCAGTCAACACAGGTGATTGTAGACTTCATGGTCTTTCTGATTTGCTTCGGGACCCACCAGTCCTGTTCCTTCTCGAAAAAGCACACGGAAACAATCTTGCTTCCTGAACCGACGGCGAACTTATTCCCAAGCGGTGACCATTTTACACAGAGGGCAGCTCTATTTATCTAAGAAATCACATATTTGCAGTGGTAAGGGAAAAAAGCAAATATAAGTGTTCAAAATTTGCGAACCTGCAAGGCCACAAGTGTAGGCTTCCATTTACCATCAGGGGTCTGCTTCCAAACATAAGCATTTCTGTCAGCTGAACACGAGACAATCTGATTTGAGGTGGCACACCAATCGATCCCCATAACTAGAGCGGAGTGTTCTTTAAGTGTGTCGACCAATTTAAATCGATCACCCGAAGACTTCGGAACGGAGAGAATGTACACATTGCTGGTATTTATTGATATTGCCATCAATGAGGCGTCCTTATTGAATGCGTGACAAACCAAAGCATCATTTCCGATCCAAAAATGTTTTGCCATCTAGACAGGAAGAAGAAAGAACAAGTTCAACTGCCCCGGCTAATGCAGATTTTTAAGGATGGGAAATGAATAAAAGGAACCCACAACCTCAACTTCGCGGGTGGATTATAACGTGCTTAAACGTTCAAACATGGGCTTGCATAGACTCTAATCAAAAAATGCTTTTGTAGTTAATATGCAGCCTTTTTAATGCAATTGATATGTTTAGACTTAATATTTTATAAAAAACTGCTTTTAAACAACCTGAATTATTAAAGTTATTATCCACTTGGGCATGCAACAGTAGTCCTTTAAGTACTTCGCATTACTGTTACTAAGATCATTTAGGTAATTTTACTATAATATAAATTTTATCTTAAAACACCCCGCTTATAAACAGTAATTCAGGTAACGGATTCCAAAACACTGCGGAATCTTGGTAATTGCACCTTTGACCCCTAATACTGCTTAGTTGACAACTTAATTGCAGATATTAAGTTAAAATATACCCATCTTTCGACTCTTTTCCATCTACTCAGTCAAATTTTTTGCACTTTTGGTTGAATTATGATTAATACTATGACGCTTTGCATGTTGAATTGATCAAAATCCTTCTAATTTCTGCATTTCAAATGATTAACTGCATCTTATAACCAAGTGGCTATGAAATAGCATTCCTTTGCTTTGAACTTAGGGTGTAGAGCTACTGCCGCCGCTTTGAGTTAAAAATATCGCCTAATAGTGAGTTACATTGCTGTCTTTAAACACATCATATTTGACTTTGATATTATTAGACACTTCATTCGATGTCCTCTAAACCTATATCTTCACGATCCTTCTGCCTACTTTTGGTAAGGTGGGGCCGAAGGTCGTTCTCGTCTGAATTTGGTTCGGTCTCAAGTACGTTGCTGAATGAGAAGGGTAGCAATTGATGGGTCGCTTTTGGAAGGTGTAGGTAACAGTAGACGTTTATTTTTAGGGTGGCCAAATTCTCAGGAATGCGGCTGCCTTATCTGCAGTGTGTCAGCGCCCTATAGAGATTACTAAAATCCGCGCAGGGCGATTAAGTCCCGGTTTGCGGTACTTATTTTTAAGCACTAATAATTTCTAGTAATCAGCATATGCTTGGCTTGCAGTTGGCCGCAAAAATTTGCAACGGAAGGCTTGAAGGATGCTTCGCCAATTCAATGAATGTGTCCTTTGATCCGCAAAGTGTCGAAGGTGGAGAATATGAGTGTGATGTCAAGACTGCGGGGTATTAGCTCCTCACCTTCTATTTCTTGCAGTTCTGTAGCACTGGTTATGCAAGTGTGTATCCCAATACTTGCCTTCGCTAAGACAAAAAGTGTTGTTTCTCTGTGCGGTGGTACCAATGCGGACTTCGCCCCACCGATTGACTATATGATAGATGTCACCGCATTTTACTATCGAAAATTCGGGATAAGTTTTCGCACAGAAATTCGTGAACGGTAATTCTTAGTAATTTGTTGCATTCTACTAGTGGCTACTATCCACGCGGAGGTGGTTTAGTTCACGTTAGTGTCGATCCAATCAGTGATAAACTCTCTCCGGTCACTCTCACGGATATGGGTCAGGTCGTGAAAATAACTGGCTCAGCTTTTGTGGCTGGGAAAGTGCCAACAAAGGTAAGGACTTTTGAATGCGTCACTTGTAGCAGGTTGCGGATATAATGGGTTCGGCTGGCCACGAAATCTTGAACATTCATTTCCCAGGCGTTCCTATTGATATCAAAACTTTTCGTGCTCCGGATAATTCTTGTCATGGAAGCGCTTCGGCATTTATGTGAGTTTTTGCGATAAAACGAAACCCACTAAATCATTCAAATTCGTGACAGGTTCCTTGTTGAAACTTCCACTGGGTGTCGCTTAGCAGTGTCGCGACTGGGCAGTAGCCGCGGCCCTTCCGCCCATGATTTAGTCGCAGATGCGATTAATTTGGAGTTGATACCATGCATCGATTCCGGTGCCTGTTGTGATAACTTCATGCAGGATCAGTTGATTCTACCCATGGCGTTAGCTCACGGAACGTCAGTGATTCGCACTACCCCTCTCACGCTGCACACGCAGTCAGCAATATATGTTGCGGAGCAACTCCTGCCTTCCGTAAGTTTATTTCCCCTAATGTTTTCAAACGCCTATTTAGTAAGTGGCAAAATAGGCGTTTATTGCCGCTTTTAGGTTAAGTTCAACGTTGAAACACTACCGGACCAAAAATCGGTCTTGCTGTCGTGCACGGGAGTTGGAGCTGAACCACAATAGTGCAGTGTGATATTGGAAATATAAGTATTTCTTGGTATTCTAACGCAGAACAATGGTTTACCTGTTAAGTGTCCTTTAGCCTATTTTTTCTGGTCTTTTGTGTTCAAGTTGCTTTACGAAACACCACAATACCATTTTTGTGGGAAATGAACATTCACTTAGGGGAAATGAATGGATGGTTGTTGATGCAAGAACATCCGGGCAAGAGTAGAGTCCAACGAAGTGCTTGCCTCCGACTCCGCACCAAACAGATTCATCGATTTGAAATGTCAGTTATGTCTAAGACTAATCGGTACAGAAGACCTGGGATTCTACTGGCATGGTTGAAAGGCCATGCCTCAGAGCGCAAGCAGACTGCGAAAAATCAAACGTCTCGTAGTTCAAGCCAGTTTAAAAAGACACCACATGGTCCCTGTCTTCTTTTGAGCGTTATCCTCGGCGCTCCTCTTGGTCAAGCTGTCGCGTCGGCCGTCACAGCACAGTCGGTGATTTAAGAGGGGCGTAAAACACCCGCGAACCAGCAGCGCCAGCTATTCACTGTGCTTACGTGTGAGAAGACATTTCGTCCCAACGTCGCCGCTGGATCCGAGCAATAGCATTGTACTCGGAGTTTCGTCTTATTTGTAAGCAGTACAGTGAAGAGGGTTTACACTGGCTCCATATTGCTGAGGGCTGAATGACGCACTACAATGAGGACAGCTGTAGGCTAATCGCTAGCCTTCAGGAAATTTCCCTGAAATCAGAGTAATTGGATAAAGCAGGGTGCGGCACACCTTTGGAAAAGGTGAGACGATCTACAGGCCATTCGGGCGAATAATCTTACTTGACAAATTATCATCGACGCATATACAACGGGACTGATAGGTTACGAAGTCAACGGCATTTCAATTCAGACAATGTCCAACCAAGAAGTTGGTCTCATCTGCTCAAAAAATCCTAGATGACACTTGAGTATGCACCACAAGTGGCACACACATATTTACATGTGAAATAAGTAAAATTTTCTCTAAAATATTACATAAAAAGGACAGATTAGTGGCTATAACTGGTCTTCCAGTACAATGGAGGCGGCATTAGAACCAAGTCTTCTTTTCTGCAAACGGTAGGGGCTACCCATTTGGAATGACGTTTATGCCGGTGGAGACTCAAGCACCTCATCTTAGAACCTGGATAGAGGAGAGCTTTGACGTCAAAGATGCAAGAATAGGGTAGGAACTGATTCGGTTGATCAACTACGGCTATGATCAAATTTATGAATTTGGTCCAGAAAGTGGAGAAAATGCCTAGGCCGAATATGTGACGATTCTCCGTGGTGAATGTTTTGGAATTTTATTGTTGATAGTTGAAAGTAAATTCGGCGTTGCAAAAAGACAGGATGATAGTCCTCCTGATTTCAGAAAAGGCGCAATCAGGTTGCATTTTGACGACAATCAGGATGTTGCAGACCATTTATTTGAGGGAGCGGGGGGTCATAGGGATGCAGAGGGAAATAAGAATCACAACAATGGCCATAACCGACATAATGATATGAACGAAAATGATAAACTTCGAAGCCCCATTCTGTTAATGACTGTCGTGAGAGGGCAAATCGGGGTTCATTCGTTTAGTCACACGGATTTTAGTGTAAACGTTCGCACTCACCGTCCCTTCTAGCATCACCAATGCCACCATACTAGTGTTGAGACCCTTCCCTAAAATCTTAACAAGCCAGTGGTGATAAAGAACTAAACTAAACTAAAGGCCGCCGGTACGGTCAAAAACCCTTGGTTAGAGAGGAAGTGCGACCGATTGGAGAAAGTAACAAGCTGCCACATAGCATTAGCCATTGTGAAGATACGCAAATGGAATTTCCCTCGCAAAACGTTTGTTATCTTTAGATGGATTGCCGCAGTCGATATGGCAACAATAGTGGGTAAAGTAAAAGAATGAGGAGAATTTTGGACTCAAATGGCATTTGTTATGTTTCATTGGTAAGCTTAACTAGGGAAATTTATAAGCTACAACTGGAATTTTACGACTATAAAAGTAAACTCAATACCATAAATTGATTTACCAAAACACGACGTTACTTGTGAACACCTAAGCATATGATACATGTTGCAACTTATATTTGATAAAATAATGGGGAATGAAAACATAAAACCTAAAGCATGGTAATAGAAGTGCTGCCATTACTATCACCATAAATAAAATTGAGGTGACTATACACTGAATTTCCACTGAGAAAAACGCCTTTAAACTTTAGCTCGTAGCAGATTTTCATAGTTGTTTGTTTGAAGAGCCGCCCAGTTCAGTACGATGCCTTTAGCGTTTCGGCTCGCTGGGTTGGCGCTGTGTCGGCCTTCGAAACCTCTTAATGTTCAGGTGGATTTCTTGTTTTCTCGCAGAGAGACTCTAGCGAAAAATAAGTGATTTTGTGCTCAGTGATATTTGCATTAAACACGCTAAATCCGCACTCTTGGGCATGTCATTTGTGGGTGTTTCAACATTACCTTATATCCGATTATAATTTAACGACCCAAGTGGCTACCCAGATGCGTTTCATTCTACTTGTGGAAGACTTCCCCTACTGTCTTGTATGGGCGTTCGCATGTGTTGGAGTTGTTTGCTTTGAAACTTATTTCCGTTAATGCAATTATTCACGCAGTCCTAATCATTTTGACATCAGTTTAGAAGCGACTGAGCTGCTCATGTACCTACTTTTGACCTCCATAGTGCAAGCGTTATGCTTCTGTCAGCTTGAGTACTTCGGGTTTTCTTCGACGTTTACCCTGGCGTCGTCCAATTTCACTCTGGAGATTCGCAGAGAAACAGGACTCCAAAAGGCCTGACGTTAAACCGGCGTCATCTAATCCTAAAACCAGGATTGAATTCCAATTCTCCTTTGGTAGCGGTAGTGGCGGCAGTCCCAAGGGATCCCAGTCACCGAATTCATGGAATATTGGCCCTTGGATTGTCGCAGGAATCGTTGGAGTGGGTGTCGTGATGGGCTACAACGCCTCGAGGTATCAAAAGGTCTCCTGGAAGGAGTTTGCGGAAAACTTTCTGCAGACGTAGGTTTGGTTCTCAATTCTATGTTTAAACTTATTTACTTGTTTCATGGGCCGTGTGTCATATTAAGTACGTATTTAGGGAGCAGCACTGATCCTACTTTTCAATCCGTTTGATGGGATTCACTTCCATCAACGTATGTACAGAAAACAAGATCATAGGGACGATTATGCGATAGAATAGGAAGACCTTTCATGTGCTGCTCGACTAATTAAAAACCGTTGTTGCTATGCTGATTATTTTATGCAATCTTTAATAGTGTCAATTAGAAACACCCAAAAATATCCATCAAAACTGGAAATTCCTGTTGCTTTTGAGGCCTACTTATATTCTTCGCGATTTTATAAGAAGAAATGCAACAGAACTTAGTCCCTTTTTCTTACACACAGCGGTCGCGTTAACCACCTGGAGGTTGTGAACAAGGAGTGGGTACGTGTTTATCTTCAGCCCCCGGGTGTCGGACGCGGTCGCGATGGTGAGTCGAGCGATGCTTATGACAGTTCCCTCGCACTCTCTACTCCCTCCACCAGTTCAAACGAGTCCATCTACTGGTTTGAGATTGGTGCTGTCGACACCTTCGAACGAAGTCTTCGTGAGCTTGAGGCCAACCTTGGTGTGGATCCCATCAATCGCGTTCCTATCAATTACAAGACACAATTCAAACCGTAAGTGTGGCGCGAACCGGACTTCTCCAATTAATTGACGTCATCTCACCGTTCACGAGATGTGAGTCAATACGATCTAACACTAAATGCGAATGCTCTACTCTTCAGATCGGACTTCCTCTATATGGCATTTTACGCAGCTTTGATTGGTGCGGCAGTCTATTCCTTCCGTTCCACTTCTGGTGGTGTTGTTCGCAAAGTTAGTTTTTTCTGCGGCCTTTAGCTTCTACGTTATTTCACGCTTCAATGGTAATTTATCTTGCCTCAAACAATGCCAATTTGCATTACTATCAGCCACTTGGATAGGTTGTCATTTTTCAAAATGATTTTTTCGTTGGTCCGGTTGTCGGAGTAGTTTGAAGTACCCGAACTTTACTCCATCTTGTATTAAATATCCATGATATGGATGGTCGATTCTCCGTCTTATTGACTGCACTTTTCTACAGCCCGGAATGGGTTCGAGTCTCTTCAACTTTGGACAGTCCCCTGTCCGGCTGATTGAGAAGGACAAAATTGGCGTGAGTTTCTCCGACGTCGCGGGTTGTGAGGAGGCCAAACTGGAAATAATTGAATTTGTCAATTTCCTCAAGAATCCCGGTCGCTACGAGGCACTTGGCGCCAAAATTCCTCGTGGAGCTATTCTTAAGGTAGACAAGCTGCTCACCAATGAGTCTGGGCTCTTCAACATACTTAATCGAACTTTTAAGACTAACGCACGAAGTAATGTATGTGGGTTGCACCTTTTGGAAGAGCCATGGAATCTTATTTTAACCCATTTTGGTAGTTGTTTGTATATTTCTGATCGTACTGACCGAGTACCACTATGCAATGTTAGAATGACTTGCTTTTTAATATTGCGCTTCTTCAAGTAGCCGGTAGGTGATAAAGCCAACATTGCACTTTGGACTTCATTTCGACCAGTTTGAACGAATACGATTATTAGGTTTTAGCACCGTCAAGTAATGAGCTTAAAGTTTTGGTAAAGTGTTGGTGTATAGGGATGTTAAGGTTGCGCAAATTATGCACAGATTCGAGAGTTGCTTGCCGTGCATTGCTTAGAACAATGCAGATGATGGTATGATGCCCTTGCATTAAAGGGTCCTCCCGGGACAGGCAAGACGCTGTTGGCCAAGGCGACGGCGGGCGAGGCCAACGTCCCCTTCCTTTCGGTGTCAGGGAGTGAATTTCTCGAGATGTTTGTTGGTGTCGGTCCGAAGCGCGTGCGCGACATGTTCAGTCAGGCACGCTCCAAGGCACCTTGCATTCTGTTTATCGACGAAATTGATGCTATTGGTGGCAAGCGCTCTGGCTCCTCCTTTGGTCATCAGGAACGGGAGAACACACTGAATCAGCTCCTTGTCGAAATGGACGGTATGTGGTTGCTCTGCTTGCCGCATATAGGTTTTTTTAGTCTAAGCACAATGGGTGGTCTGCCAATGACTGTATACGAAGTTACGAATGATGAAAGCTGTCAGGCCATGGTAATGCCTCGTGCGGTTACCCGTGACGCCATATGCCTAATCTTCTTTCTGATATGTTCATCACATTCAACCCGAAGGCTGCAAAGAAAGCTAATTTCCTTCGATAATTATAGGGTTTACAACTCAAGAAAACGTTGTGGTGCTAGCTGCCACCAACCGAATTGACATTCTCGATCCTGCGTTGCTGCGACCGGGTCGTTTCGATCGTCAAATCTACGTCTCCCTTCCAGATATTAAGGGACGTGCTTCTATCTTCAAGGTAAGTTACTGTAATCCATCACTAAATTCGCCAACAACTTGCTTTGTTCGATGCCTTTTCAAGGTCCGCTTGTGAAAACGATGGTCAAATTTCTGAATATATGGTTCTTTGCAATCAAAGTTCATTGTGATACACAATCTGTAAACAAATGAAGTTTATAATTTAGTACATCTACTGCAAGTAGCAGATGCCTTATTAAATTTTCTTCAATTAATTGTGAAAACTGAAGCATGACTATAGGTTGCTTTAGTCTGTAACCTTCCTGGAAAGTAGGGTTACTAGGCAATATGTGGATTGAGAATTAGGAAAGAAATCCATTTAATGTGTGATGGCATGTCGTGCTTGTCTCCTGGATCACATTGCGTTTGTTAAGACTACCATTCTCAACGATCTTGACGACAGGTTCACTTGAAGCCGCTGAAGTCGAAGCTGGACAAAGTGGAGGTGGCGCGTCGCATGGCGGCCCGCACACCGGGCTTCTCGGGCGCGGACATCGCGAGTGTTTGCAACGAGGCCGCCCTTATCGCGGCTCGTGAGGATGCGAAATCGGTTGACCTCAGCCACTTTGACGCCGCCATCGATCGGGTCATTGCGGGACTGGAGAAGAAGAGTCAGGTCTGTTCATTCTAACTATTTGTTATTGCTCCTCCCAACAGTTCTTGGAACTGCAGGAGGCAAATGTCGAGTCCTTTGCTTTGCGTAGGAAAGTCGGAAAGTTCCGTTGTCATAGTTTTTGACTGTTCATAGATTTTTTTATCACCTGACGACACGTCCTCGCCTTTTTGAGCGCGGTCATCCCTGGGTTTAGTCCTATCTGTAGACGTGAAAAGGCTGGGAGGTGTTTCTTGGTACTGTGAAACAGGTTTGGAACAGCCTTCGAGGTTCGATGCTGCGAGGAAATATCAGTTCGTCCAGCTTATACAGACTGTAAACAGTTAATGAACATGGGATTACAGAACGAAGGTATTTAGTATTTCACCTTTTTATTTTCCAAACATCTTTAATCGTGATTCTAAAATTCAGATTTTTTAATGTGTTTGCTGTTGGAAGTTCAATGCTTGGCAGTCTGGTACATTGTTTAAATCCATGACCTGTTTTCCTAACCTCTGTCGGTGCTCTACTTTCCAAAATCTATGTTCTCAGTTGGTGTCGGAAACAATACAGTAATATGCCGTTGTTCACTCATTTCGGTTAGCCGAAACGTTGAATTGCATTCATAGCTCAAAGCATCATTGATGCCCATCGGGAGGCAGCGATCATTTTTTGGCCCAGGCCAACTCCAGCCGTGAAATGAGTAACCAGAGGCGTAGGTGTCGTCGTCAACGGATATTTTCCAAACCTAGTCGTGTAGCTTGTTTCCAAATGCGCGCGTGCAGGTGCTGCAGCCGGACGAGAAGAAGACGGTGGCCTACCACGAGGCAGGGCACGCGACAGTGGGGTGGTTCCTGGAGCACTGCAACCCTCTTCTTAAGATCTCCATTATCCCTCGGGGGAAGGCGCTGGGCTACACGCAGTACCAGCCACGCGACGCATACCTTCACACTCAGGCTCAGATGCTCGACGAGATGTGTCTTGCCCTTGGCGGCCGTGCCAGCGAACAGGTCTTCTTCGGCAAGGTCGGCTCCGGTGCTATGGACGACCTCCAACGCGTTACTCGCTCCGCCTACGCTCAGGTCCGAACTTTTGCTACCATGTCTTAAAAGAGCCTTTCGACATCCTAATTCATTCATGAATAACCTTGTGTCAGTTCTTACTACCTCTTTGTACTCGGAACTTTTTCAAAATTACTTAGGTGAAATCATTTGTTCAACTACCGTCTAAAACACCTTGTGTATGCATTATTTTGGTTCAAACCGTCATTTTCTTCTGGTCTTTCGCCACTGATAATTTTAAACAGGCATTTTTACTTGTTAGCTTGGTTAGTGGGAGGTGGCTCTGGTTGTGGTTCAAATGAATTTGTATTAACTGACCTTTGTTTACTACGAAGCTTTGCCTCTTTGCCTTCTTGTTCGTAATCCTTTTTTACATTCCCCTCTGTCGTAGGTTGTTCAACTGGGTTTCTCTCCAAAAGTCGGAAACCTCTCCTTCGATCTACCTCAACAGGGTGAGCCAGTTATGACCAAGCCCTACTCGGAGCACACTGCTCAAATAATCGACGAGGAGGTGCGGGACCTGGTTGCTAGGGCCTATGACCGGACCCTCAAGCTTGTTGAAGAGCATAAAGGTCACATTGAGGCGGTGAGTTTCGTTTAATTGACCCAGAATAGTTTCACCGTAACGAATCGGTTTCAGGGAATAAATTGCGAATGCATTTTGCAGTTGGCGCTTCGACTTTTGGAGAAGGAGCAGCTTCAGAAGGAAGATTTAGTGGAAATTCTTGGTCCACGACCCTTCCAGGAGAAAAGTACCTATGAGGAACTTGTTGGGTCTGGTAAGATAAGAGATGAAGCTTTATATTCTCTTCCTCTATTTTGAGGTACAATCTCATTCTCAAGTTATTCACGTTCGCAATTCTATCTGCTCAGTTGATACAAGTTTTTTTTTCGTATTTTTTTCATTAGGAATTGTTGCCTACACTGATATGCAATCTGAGCGCTTTCTTGAAACATTAAATTGGAGTTTTCATTTTTCCTCTAGGTCCACTTGATGAAGACACTGATCTTCCACCTGGGCTTAAGGATTGGAATAAGGAACCTGACCCTCAGCCTGATACTTGAGAATGAGGTGGCGCAGAGAAAGCTATTTTTAATGCGGATTAGGAGTCCGATGTCCCCGTTTTTATGCTGTAAGCTTACTTTGTCGCAATTTGTCGCATCATTTGACCATTAAATTTTATACTTTATTTCGCTTGCTGCTACTTTTAACTGCTCCGATTCTTCTCGGACGTTGGAATGGTGCACAATAACATGGAGATGGTTATTATTGACGTACAAAGGTAAGAGTTATCTGGAGGTCTGGGGTGCAATCTATTGGCGCTGAAGGGCCCACTTGATCAAATGTGCATTGAGGTAGGCACCTAATTGCGGTAGTGATTCATCCCTCGTGGTTTCTCGCACTTAGTTCAGCTCCCAAATCCTTCCAGAGAGAGGAAGAGGCTGTGTTGGCAGGTCAAGAGTTGCTGCCGCAGTGTGCTCACCCGAATCGATTATGAGGGTGGAGGTGGCAAGAGCGGGATTGGCGTTTGGACGCGCCCTCAGCTGGGGTAGCCAAGGCTAGCAACGGCCCTTGGAGGTGGGCGTTCCCATACGTGGCAATTTTTAGCTGTTAGCGAAATATGAGAAGGGCTTCAAGCAGTCTACCCTTTTTTTAGGAGCTTTTATTTCCTTCGGCTGGGTCTGGCGGAGATAAGGGGCTTATTCTTTCCACCACAAATACCAAAGTCTAATGCTGGCTAGTCGTCAACATTAACCTCAAGGCGGTCGAAAGAGTCAGTGAGACGGCAATAAGAATGTTGGCTTAGGCAACAGTTCCTAGTCAAGTTGTAAAGCCTCACGTCGGAACAATGACCTATGTTCTGATTACAAGGAGCAAAGATCGTGTACAGCCTAGCCTAAATGTTTGGTCGGGTAGTTACTTAGCATTCATTTTATGAGGTCTAGCTGTAATACGATGGTGGTTTATCCCTGGGTATTAGTAAGGCGCCACTTTTGTACTTTGAATTAGCCTTCTTGTACCTCGCTGAGTGGGCTGGCATTGGGGCCATGCTAGTAGCCCAGACACCTCTGTGCTGGATGTGTATGTTCTGCCCGAGTATTATGTCTTCTGTCGTCCTCAGAGAAGTCTTGAGACGCTACATAGCACTATGAAAAACGTATTAATTGATTAGTAGAGAAATACGTTGTTTTCTAACCCCCCCCCCCCCACTTAAGAAAACCTTGAATTGGTAGCAAACATTGCGTGTCGAATCTTTAACCTCAACGCAAAAACCAGAAATTGTTTGACATATTAATAACATTTGGCAAGCTGCTGTTACATGCAATTGTCGTATGCATTTGAAGTTTGTTTTATCGAATCCCACAATTTCTTCGTAAAGCAAGTAGTACAGGGTGCGCCGACCTGCTCCCTGTGTTGATTGGACGAGTTGCTGGTACTTCAAATGGATCAAAATAATAAAATCACGGGGAGTTTTTTAACAGAATACTCCAAATATGTTCTCGCCCCGATGGTCGATCAGAGTGAATTAGCTTGGCGCATGCTTGCGAGGAAATACGGTGCACATGTCACTTTCACTCCAATGATCAATATTAAGCAGTTCATGAAGGACCCAAAATATCGAGCTAAAGCCATGGAATTTACGGAAGAGGATAGACCTTGTATTGCACAGGTACCGGCTGATTTTCTGACGTCCTTCCAGTTTTGTGGTGATTCACCGGAACTATTTGCAGCCTCTGCAAAGATAGTTGAGAAGTACTGCGATGGTATCGACTTGAATCTAGGATGTCCACAAGGAATCGCCCGTCGGGGCCACTATGGGTCGTTTCTCCAAGACGAATGGGAGCTCATAGCAGCAATGGGTACACCGTGGTATTCTCGTATTTCCCCTTCTCGATCTTCCCTGGTTCCCTTAAAATGTTGTTTGATTTAGTTCGCGAGTGCAAAGCCGCCGTAACGGTACCGGTGTCTGTAAAAATACGCATTTTCCCTGACGTTGAGCGAACTATTTCGTACGCCAAAATGTTGGAAGAAGCCGGGGCATCTCTCATCACAGTTCACGGTCGAACACGGGAACAAAATGGACTCCACACTGGGCTCGCAGACTGGCTACAGATACGGGCAGTTAAGTAAGTTTCTTAAATTTTATTAGCATCTGATATTGTGTATGTTTACACATACAAATGTGATTTGGGATTTTAATGCACACTATGCTATCGTTTCTGTTCTCTTATTTTGCCGGCGTTTACGTTCTTTCAAAGATCACTCATCCCATGGGAATAAAGCGATAGTAATGTTTTTCTTTTATTCAGAGAAGAAGTCAATGTTCCAGTGATCGCTAACGGGAATATTATATCGTATGAGGACATAGCGGAATGTCTTAAAGTAACCGGAGCTGACGCAGTTATGAGTGCAGGTTATCGGACCTTTTCTCGTCTAGCAGTACCTCAGAGCCTCATTTATACAACCCGACAATATTTTCGAAACAGGAATGTACGGTTTTTCAAGTGGCTAACGAATATGTGGACTTTGTGAAAAAGTACCCCTGTCCGATGTCGTTTGTCCGGGGCCACCTCTTTAAGCTTTTTCGCAACACGTAAGCATGCGTTTGTGTCTCCTCACCTTACCCTTTTACTAACATTCAAGAATGAATATCCATACAGAGATGCGTGAATGTCTCGCCTTTTCCCAGACACTCCAAGACGTGGAGGCCTTCATCCGTAACCTCAAAATGATTTGTAAGGTAACTCCCGGTTCACATGTAAATACCTGTCAATTTTCCTGCACCTATACGCGTCATATGTGATGCTATACTGGAGCGAGACCTATTCTGAATGGTGTAAGACTTGACTCATCTAATTTTCCTCGTTGTAGAAAGAATGCGTGCAAGACGGAAAGTGGTCACCATCCTCAGAGCCACGGGGGTTGACTAAACCGCATTGGATATGTCAGGCCTACCTTCGCACTTTGGAGGCGAAACCGAACCCAACAAAAATTAGCTCATAATTTTGATTTGGAACTAGGCAAAAGGTGGTCGAGATTTGTCTTTCATTTTTATAAAACATACTGTAAAGAATCATTAAACGAATCGCGAAAGTCGACTCATACTTTTTTGACGTGGATCAATGGGATAGATGCCATTCTATCGACTTCACCATTCCAATTCATAAACTTTTCCAAATTCTGCTTCGATGTGAGATCAGGTACCAAAAGCCCAGTCGTCGCGAACTCTTGGGCTTCTTGTTTCAGGAGCTCGTTTGTCATATCGATTGTCATTGAAATTGAGCAGTTTTCAGTTTCCCTTTCTTCTTCCTTGCTGTCAAGTTTGAATCGGCGCAAGTACCTTGGAGTAAAAAATAATTCACCGTCTCCATAATCGTCACAAAGAACTAAGATGGGGATTCAACCGTTAAAACAGCGCGAAGATCGTTAACAGTGCACCTGTTGATGCTAGATTTGCTTTTTAACAAGAGAATGAACGAGAAATCACAACACAAGATGTTATGGGAAGTAAGGGTGTCGATTGCAGACTTAAAAAAGGAGGGCAGCTACACAAATTTCACAGAGCATGCGACAAACGGACTCCCCAATTAAATAATAAAAATAAGCGGGTCAATTCAGACCCGAAAAAACTAGATGAATTGCCGTTGGTACAGGCGACAGACCTGAAGATCAAGGACCGAAGATCATCAATAGTTAATGAAGTCCTATTTTGTGGAATGTTCTCCTTGAACCACAGCATCTTAGTTCCTTAAATAAAACCCACTGGTTGGTCTTACTTTTCAATTCATCCATGCTTCTTCTCATCTTTTTGCGTCTACGCCCAAATATAAGAATAAGGAAAGACATACTTTGTAACCTTAATAGCATGGTGTTTTCTTGCAATTTTTTGCTTTACTTTCCTACTAGAAGGATGCAGAATCTTCCCTTTGGGCCTAGCCATCAATAAATGTGACAGCCTGACGTTTAGAGACACCGCAGCAAGGACGGGGGATTAAAACAAATTGAATGTGTCAAGATGCATAAACAATAGTCCTTAAAGGATTTTGATAGCTTTAAAGACTACTTAGTTTATTTCCAGTAAGGTCTAACATGCATTGACAGGTCAATAGATCTCACAATACCTAGGTAGCCCCAGACACCTCCTTTTGCAAAATGGTGTATTGACTAGGTATGGGGGGCTGTTTCCACCCGATAAAGCACTAAAACTGCGCTCAATTCCGAACTTGCTAGGTTTTTTTGGTCAAAAAAACAGGTAGCCCCTACATCGCTGTCGAATGAGGCCATGCAGCTCTGAGGAGCATCGCAGACACCGACCCCCACCTTCGACTTCCGGAAAGGCCGGACCCTGCAACCAGGTGCGGAACTAACAGCCCGACCCAGAAGCCGTCATATCGGACAGCACCATTCCCCGAACTTAGCAGTCAAAGAGTCAGTCTAGGAAGACATCAGCGGTTTACCCGCAGATATGAAAACTTTTAAATTGGTACAGCAATTCAGTGTGACATGACCAATTCGAAAAAAAAAACCTACAAACAAGCTGAAAACAAGTAGCAACGCAAAACGCCTATTCAGTAGACGCGGCGGAATCAGGTCTTGTAGGTGGTACACCAAGTAATTCACAAATCCTCAGACGGGTCGGTTTCAACTCAGCCAGCTCTTGTTCCCTAGTATGAATATAAGGTTATCACTCCATAATTCCAAAGTCTACATAGTTAGTTGCGGCAAAACACAGAGGTGCTTATCAAGGCGACACTATGTGGGATACAGATTAGATAAAAAGTTTAAAATGTGCCTATTGGTATCTTTTGAAACCTAGAATCTAAGATACTTGGTAAATTATCACACTCAATAATAACACAAACGCATTGTCAAACTTCGAAATGATCATATAAACCCACCAAACTGTTTCGGATAAAAGATCGGAGAGTTCGCTGTTGATTTCGGGTTCCACCATGTCGTAGATCAAAATGCATTCAAAAAGTTTGGTGGCAGCGGTTTTACGGATCTTAGACAAAACATTGGACAGCAAAAACTCGATAAAAACAACAATCTGGTGTATTTATGGAAAATGGTTTCGGTTCTTGGTCCTAGTTAATAAAGTAACTCCTTTTCAGAGCACCAAATGGATGCTTTGTTCAGAAATCCATTTAGGTTTTAGGTTATCGCTTACTCAAATGAATATCAAAAGATGGAAGTTGGCTTACTATGGGATACCGATGACGGAGGCATTGTGTCAGATACTGGGCCGCCTTGTGTCGAACCGGGTCGTTGAACTGAAGAGCTGCGCCGTATCTGGAACGAAAAAGTGGATGACACCTTACGGAGGGGGATTTAAAACACAAGCCAACTTGAACGTTTAGGTTAGCAACCACAGAAAAACCAAAATGTTAAGTGTAAGACCAAATTGTAGATCTACTAATACTAATAATATACAGCATTTTAAAGAACGGGGAAAGGTGTAACCACATTTCATGTTGAGTTTCTCAAAGCTAACAGTGTATTTTTGACAGATTTTCAGTGAACTGAAAATGCTTCAGAGTGGAAATGAGACGTTAATGTGAATACGTGGAAAAAACCCCGAAAGTTGTGAATAAGTGCTGTCATTGACCTAGTCGATCCAAAAATCTCGCTACAGCTGTCACGTCAAATACGCCGTAGAAACTTCCCAGGCCTTATGACGCACTTTGCCGACATCATCCAGGCGTAAATTCACCGTTTTTTCCCATTTGTTCGTTTATGCTAAGTAGTGGGATTCATTTCCCCCCAAAGCAAAAAAAGGAGGCTCCTCAATCCGTTGAGCTTACATGTCAATGGCAGACTTGAGCTTGGCGATCTCAGTCGATAGCCGGATGAATTTCCAGGTACAGGAAACCAAGTGGTCAACAAGAGACCTGAATCACAAAAGACGAAATTGTCAGTTTTTACCGTTTTTATTGGAAGTCACTAAATGACTAACACAGAGCATGCATTTGGAGCATACCTCAAAAGATTTTGAAATGGTAAAAAAGGCGTAAAGTGAATAACTTTCCACTTCATACAAGCATAGATTCAGGTAATTTTATGCGTTTCAATAAAAACACTTATTGAAGGAATAAAAATTTCAGCACACCTTCACTGAGAGAACTAATGAGTGTGCACGTAAAACATTCCTTAACTATTCTTAAATGCCTAATTTTAGCCAGATTCTAAAGAAAATTACTGTAGAGGCTAAATCTATCACTAACGTCCTGGAAATGAATAAAGAAAAAAACCCGATGGTTATGAGAGAAGAATATGCGTACAGATGGAATTCCATGCAGGCGGCAACCACGGAGTCACAGAGGAGAAAATCGAGAAAACGCAACAGAGAAAGGCATAGTCTGAAAGTCAGAAAAGTAAGGACATTCTTTGAGTCGAAGACAGATATTGAAGTATCAGTCAAAGATCTTCAGGCTATCTGTCTGCAACATTTGTATGGTTAACAATTTCAAAAAAATCGCCTGCTAAAGAACATTTCGTGCAATCTTGACACAGGCATCTCAATGAGTTGATGTCTGACCAACCTGGGCTGTTCGCTAAGAGTCGTGAATATTCGACCAACGGTCTTCATTAGGCGCAAAATGAAATCGGGATCGGTCTCATGCCTGACGATGTAATCACGCAAGGCAGTTGAGCTGGCTTTGACCTGCAAGGTTTGATATCACATATGGAGAACGATGGGCCAGGCGACTCGAGAATCAAACACCACGCCCCACTTACGGTGTTTTCCGTAACACTACCTACACTAACAGCGAAACCAAGGACAAGCTGATAGTGAAAATCGGGAAAGTCAAACAACTGTACAAAGAGAGGGAATGTCCTTTCGGCGGTGCGCCAATGCACTTCTTCAAGAACTTCACTAAAACAAAGAAAGTAGCTGATAGTATGGGAAAGTAGTGTCGGGCGTGTGGTGAATTGACGTCTAGTTGAATTATGTCAATTGCATAAGGGTCAGACCAAAAGATTCACCAATTTGTTACAATATTTTTTTAATAAAGGAATTTATGTAAACTGTTGAGTCCTGAACTACTCCCATGATTTTAGTAGGAAGCAAGCGCATAGTTGCGTTGAGATTTACACTACTATTGGTTAGACCTGAAAAGAAAACAAGGAAATGACGATCCAGAAGAATGTGGAACAGTAAACCTACTCGGCGAAAATGATCCGTAGAGCGTCTGCGTGAGGAATATGGGGAATCTCTGGTCTAAATACAGTAAAAGAATCGAATTTTGGTAGAAGTGAAAAATAGTAGGATTGGAAAGTGATAAGAATAGAAATATTACTTATGATGGAGGAGGCCAACAAAGACTTGACCTGCCGTGGCTCTTGTTCGATCAATCTTTTCTACCGCTTGTTGGGCGACCTGCACAACCACCTGCTCCATCCTAAGCAAAAGATAAGCGACTGCATGGTTAGTGTGCTAAACTTCAAGGTGAGCAGCAAAAGGCGTTTCGTAAAATACCCAATATGGGACGGTCTGCATTCATTAACTTAGGAATTTTGATGATTTTGACTAAATCATCACCAACTTAAAACCACAGCTTGGTCAAAACGATAAAATTGGTGGGATATTACTGCCGTCATTGATTAGGCTTCGAGTCACACAGTATCCCTACATGCATATGAAAGTAGCGACCATGATATAAAATCTTGTGCTTCCCAACATATTAAAATTAGGACAACACTCAATGGTAGTATTACCACCGGAATGGCTTGACAATGACCCATAGGTTTGACTAGTGCTAGGCGACACACATGTATTCCTCCAGATTCTTTAGATTCACAAGTTGAAAGTGATAAGAAGTCCATTTATGGAAACTCGACCGAATGAAGTATTTGTTAAAGTGAAAAGCAAGTGCGTCCCTTAACTGTCCTAGCAACAAAGCAGTTTAAAAATATCTAATTGGATGAGAGCTATTTTATTTAAATTTCATACAGAAGAAAGATAATTTGCCACGGAAACAGAGCTCCAGTGTGGGAAATGAATACAAACTTACGTATCACTTTCGATGACATCAGAACGGTCGCTCTTCACCAAATTGCTGGAGAAATCCAACAATGCCTGCATACCCGCCTCACGTACGCTAAAACGTACATAAATGGGAACGACGTTGCCAAGGCTGTTCATTTAAAACAGCCTCAAAAAGTTATTTTGCTATTAATATAACAGAAACTCAATCGAGATGGAAGATAGCTAGTGATTCATGACCAGATCAGAACGAAATGCGTCGGTCCGGGAAAAAAAAGAAATCGCAGGTTACACTCTTACAAACGACTTGAATGTCGTATGAGGCGAGGTTGAGGTAAGCTGGCATTGCTAATCTTATGATCTACCAACTAAAGAAATCTACTCATGAAATAGCTTATTATTAACCAAAACAAGCTGGTGATCAGAACTAATCACAAAGAGGAGTTGTTAAAAAAAACGGGACTTACATCGAACCGATGTCACCTCGAGAATCGGTTGTGTAATCAGCAAGTGAACCAAGGAAGACGGGGTAAAGAGAGCGCAACTGAGCATCTGAAATATTCCCCTCCGTCACTCCAATGTGTTTGACGACTCTAAAGAATTGGGAGGGGGGTAATATGCTGGTTAGGCACCAGCCCTAGAGACCACAGTAGTCAAGTTAGAATAGCGATGCTGGGGCTCTTAGTTTATGCTACTTTAAAGTTACAATAAAAGTCCAAGAAAGAGAAAGAGACGTACTCGGCAAGAGTTGAGAGGGCGCGTTGGCGTGCGTTGCCCCAGAGGAGAGTGAGTTTGACAGGCCGGCAGCAGGCGCTGATGGCACGAAGACTCGCCTCAATATTTTCAGCGAAGAGAAAACCCGGTGCTTGACTCAACACGCCCAAATACCCCACCTGGCAGCTCTCAGTTCGAGCGGCAAGATTTTCCAGCAGGTGCGCCAACAGCATGTCTGTCAAAAACGGCCATTATAAGTACCAATTAACAACAGTCAGAAGGTGGACATCACAAAAAGCAAACATTGTCAACCGAGCTCCTCGAAGAGCTTCATAATGCTACATTGACAGTGCAGTCTGAGAAAGAGGAAGACTTGAAACAGGTAATTCTTCATTCGAGGCAACAACGCACTCGTTTGCAGAATAAGTTCGCATGTCAAAAAAACACTATCAAAGATGAAAGGAGATCATCTCAAAATCAACTACTTGTTCTATCAATATGACTTTTCTTAACAAGACAATAATGGGCATAATGTCAAATTATTGTATTCTATTCCAGTGCAAATACCCACGGTTTTAATGTACTAGAAGAGTATAAAGGTCAAAAACGAAATGAAAATGCGCGTAGGCTTAGTGTGCGATGATTCATGACCACAAGTATCAAAGAGCTGCTTATGAAACAGACCACGATAATCCCTTCTCAAAGTCCCATCTTTGGCAAAAGTGTACGCTGAAAGAAATGCACCATAGGCCGGAATAGCGGGGTCCTAAGAAAAAACATGAGGGTCTGCGTAAATAAATAAAGCTACTAAGGTATGTGAGGTGTAAGGGGACGCTTCTCCACCTCGCTTAGTAGTCACGTAAATAGGAAATTGACAATTCAAGCATTATAAAAAGAGCATTAGAGATTGAAAAGTATAATGAGGAATGTTAACCTACTCTGACACTTGTTTCCTTATGTGTTAAGCAGGCGTCGAGGAAACTCCTCCATTTTTCTAAATTGCATGCAAACGCGATAAGTAGGAAACAAGCAGACAGAGGGGCCAAAGCAGTAATTCAAAGTAGCCAACTTACCAAGAATGGGATGCTCATGAAGAGGCAATTTAGAAATTGACACTTTTTCGATAAGGCGACAGCAGGCACGGCGCATCAGTTCACCCGCAACTCCATTGAAGAGTTTACGCTCTTCCAACTAGATAAAAGAGAACTAATAATTTAGTACTAATTGTTTAAAATCTTTAGATATTCTGAAAAAAAACCCGTTAAAAATGAGTGAATGCAAGGACAAGGAGGGGGGGAACGTAGATGCGTCCAAAAAAGGAAGTAGACATAATGTTACGTAAAGGAGGGATAAGGACTGGACGCAACTAAAAAAATGAAAACAGTAGCAAGTGTGCATAGAAGAATAGTAGTAATACAACATGGTCTACACAAACATAAAGTAAAAAAGGATTATCTAAAAGTTGAAATTTCCTGAGCTTTGCATTGCAAAACCAAAGTTACCTAGCACCGACAGCTTACGTATAGTAAATATAGGTGACGAACCTGAGGAACAATCTCCGCAATGCTGTCAACGATTGCGTCGGAAAGGGAATTCATTCTAACAGAAGATAAAAAAAATAACTGCACAAATAAGAAAATCCCAGTAACCTGAGCAACAGAGGAAAACACTTTACTCTGAGAGGGGTTGAATCAATTCAGCAATGCCCAGAACGCTGCCCTGTCGCATATATAGATCCGTGCCACCCACGTGTTTTATAAGTTGGGGCAAAACTACGAAGCACGTGAAAAGGACAGAAGGTTTGAATCACAGAAGGAAAGCTGCCCTTAATTGGAGTGGGGAAATTTCTAGGAGGCAGATGAGAGTTAGAGGCCTGAGACAATGAAACCATCGTAGATGAACAAAAAGCTCACTTGATTGCATCATTTGATCTGTAGCAAGTGGGAACAGATTATTCAGAGAACGAGCAGCCATATCTCGAATATTTTCGTCCCAGTGCCCAAGCCTCCAAAACGCAAGATGTTCCACGATGGCATACGTGTACTCATTGAAACCTGCCACAAACTTACTTTAAAAAGAATAAATGCAACGCAATAGATAGAATTTGTTTGCAGTGGTTTTGACATTAAACGATCTCCTATGGAATCACAATGCCTCTGAACTAAGGACAGGACTAGTGTGAATGACAACATATTTCTTGTGACAGTCATTGTGGAAGCTTTAGTGCCATATCACTAAGCGTAACACTTTTATTAGTTTTATAATAAGCAACGAACCGCATTGAAACTATGATTACATGAAAAAATTGAGTGCATAGAACTACAGCTTGCTTAAGATAACCCAAACTAGTGAATTCAAATAGAACTGTGTTGCATTACTTTAAAAGAAAACTAAAATAGAAGCTAAATCCAATGACGACAAATTTAGGCTTGACAGTACCAAGCGTTAAAGGTGCAGCTTCACAAACCTCAAGTTGAGATAACAATTTGAAATACTTCCGACGGCAAAGTAATCGACAGTCGTGATGATCTCAATGCCATTAGCAAATTGCCCCTTTAAAATTAACAGAACTTCTATAGTACCCAAATGATAAATGCTAAACAAAACCTAATTCGGCAGAAAGAAAACAGAACAACTACCTGACGACCAACATTCTCCTGAAAGGCCGCTGCTGCCGCTCGACGAACATTTACCTCTCGATCGAAGAGAGCGGCGAGAATGAGTTTCTGTGAGACCTCGTGCACGTGGCAGGCAAAGTCAGAGGCCTTGTAGGCTCTAGCAAAGGCCCAACAACAATAACAGGCTGCGTCGCGTACATTTGATCCGAAATTGCAATCTCCCGATTTCTCGTCGTAGAACAGTGCCGTTAAAACGACAGGAATTACCTAGAAGGAAAAACAGTACTCAATGTAGTATAAAAATTGCACAAGATAATTATAAAAGATCATCTGTTAGCTCTACCCGTGGGAGTTTTTCCGGTAAGAGAAGACATCGTCTGCCAAGTTCCGCTAGGGCAAAGCAAGCTCCGTGCCATGCCGAGAAGGTTTCTAATCGCGTGCAGAGATCCAAAATGGCAGTTAACACGTCATCCACATACGGAGCCGTCAGTCGAGAGCAAATTCGGCCAACTCTAAAATATGCAACACGATGGTCCAAGTGAAGTATCAAATCACAAAAAAATATCCATAAAAGCCATACCCTTTAGCGGCTGACCACCGAACACATGTAAATTTACTCCTCAATGCGTCAATCAAGTTGTCAATCACAATCGCGACTTCATCGGGTGATTCAACATCATCCTCCTCGTACCCATCATCCTCTTTTTTGCTACCTTTGGATGTCAGATAGGAGACTGCCGCAGGTACAGGCTCCGTCTTCTGTACGTCCCCACCGCTTTCGATGATATTGTGTGGATGGGTGAGCGAGCTGAGATTGTCGGCAAGAGAGCGAAAACCGCGCTGATAGCGCCAAGAGGCTGCGGCAGCCCTACGGCGGCAGAACAGTAAACCCACACGCTGAATGAGCTTACAACGGAGACGAGCGAGAAGGATATTTCCGGATACCTTATCCGGCACCAGGTTGATAATCATTTCGAGCAGCCGTAGCGCGTACGGATAAAGAACATGACGGGGAACAATCTTGCAGATGCTGACAAGACTGCGAAGAAAACCAGCTACACGCATTTGATCCTTTTGCGAATCATCTATATAGAAGTTCAGGTCAATTACGGCAAATATTTCGAATTTATGCAGGTGTTCACCACATAACCAATAATATTTGTTCCTTGGATGTAATTGATCATCCTGCAAAAAGTATCTGGTAGAGTTGTTATCGCATAACAAAGTAGGCACTAGAACCAAAGAGCGTGGAAAGTTAATAAAAATGTTCCAGCAATAAGCTTGTATGAATTAGCAAATGTCAATTCAGATGAAGCTAAGAGACCGAGTACTGAATAAATTTGCTAATAGTAAAAGATGTTCAGAAAACAAATTTACAGGAAACTGACTTACAATTAGCTTCCTTAAGTTCGCCCTCAACCCAAAAAATAACATCCTCAAGTTTTGATGGGTAGACATCCGGGCGTGATATGAATTTTGCCAAAAGGTGCGCAGCAGCAATTTGGGTGATATCAGCCAGGACAACATGCTTCTTGGCCTCACTCAAAATGCGTTCAATTAGTAGTGGTTTACCCGGCTTCTCAAGTCGCTCAAGCGCAAAAGGAACCATAATAACAATGGATAGCCACAGTAAAAGCACGTATCGCGTCTGCCAATTCTTGATTTTTTATAGTGAGCACTGAGATGAAACTCTTACATTATGATCATCAATATCCTGGAGCTTTAGGAGATCAAACACAGATTCCAGGTCATCCACAGTATGAGGCATCAAACGAACGAGACTCTTATAACCTCTCGTATTTGTCATAAGGTGGATAATCTTAAATACGAAATGATATATCTTGGGGTTGTCAATGTTCTTGTAAATTTGTGCAATGCACTTCCCCAGCATCTCACCCAAATATGGGTCCAAAAGATGGGGCTGCTCTTGGTACCATCCAAATATTACTAATGCGTTCAGATTATAGGAAAAAAAACAAACTTGTAAATTTAGTAAGTAGCATTTCTTCCTTACGAACGTCCCCAACTGAACTGCAAATCCCACCAAACAAAGTGTTAAACTCATCAAGATGTTGAAACTCATTGAATACTATTGACTTTTCATGGTCGGTGGCCGGATTTGCCGGCGCTTCAACCATGGTTACACAAACAAGCGACACAGAAGCAACTACCAAAACCTTGGCAGTTCAAAATCTCATTGGTTATCATGATTGAATCCAACATTAGGTGCTAGTTGCAGGTGACAAATGAAAGATTTAAAGTGCCCTAAGCAATAGAAATATTTAACACTTAAAAGAGAGCATACAATTTTAAAATGTTTAAAATCTGTTTAGTAGGCTCAAATCAAGCAGAAAAAGCAGTACACATAGTGGGATTTAAAAAAGTCCTTGATCATGTAAGTAGTTGAATTTTATTTAGCCAGAACCAAAAATAGGAAAAGAACGTCACAACACTTAGCAATTTGCTTGATGCAGTTTTGGTTATGTAGTCACTTAGGCATATGCAGATTATACTCCGCCCGCATGCATGGCCTTCGAGGCAAACCCGTAACCTCTCACCTTTTTTGTATGTTTGTAGAATTTTTTTAACCGAGCTACCATGATTCTTACTGCCTAATAGAGTAGGGCACGTAGTTTGCAAAAGGTAAATTTCATGAGTAATTCCAAAGCAAACAGTCTCTGGGCAATTTCGGAGTAATGTTTCCTCACTCATTTGAGAGGCGTATTTTGTGCATTCTCTGTAGTATCCCAAGTCTGTTCTGAAGGTTAAACGAATCGAAGCTCTGTAAAAGCATATATATCGCTTACATACTGGGGTATAGACGACTACTAGCATCGTCTAAAGACCATGCTGCGGATCAGAAGTTCAGTCAATGAAATATTAAGTGCCTTATTTTTCAAATTAGTTCTAAATGTAATACGATAGTGGTTTATCCCTCGGCATTGGTAAGGCGCAGCTTTTGTACTTTGAATTAGCCCTCTTGTACCCTGCTGGGTGGGCTGGCCTTTTAAGCCATGCCAATAGCTCGGACACCTTCTCCGTGCTGAATATATATATTCTGCCCGAGTATTTCGTCTTCTTTCGTCTTCAGGGAGTCTCGGGACGCTACATAAAAAACACCAAATATCCCCTATCTTCCTTTGGGTGTCGTCTTCGGCGCTGCCTTGGTTACCAACAGGGGAACCGGCATATGAGAGGACATTTCATCCCACGTAGCTGATAGGTCTCAGCAATCCTTCTGAACCCGGAGTTTCATCTTATTTTCAAGGGTTTTGGGGAAATAGCAATCAACTGGCTTCTTACTGCTTAAGAATGAATAATGCCCACAACGAGAACATCACATGTACCAATTGCTGGTCATCAAGATATTGGTCCACAACAGAGCTACTTACTGAGATATGGGACTTATAGCGATTTCATAAGCGTAATATTTAGCATCCATTCATCCATTCCTGCTACTTCATTCTCGTCTCAGTGATGCTCAGCCTTCTATCCGAGAAACAATTAGTAATTAGTGAATCGGAGGGGACATTGCTTGTTCACATAATTAACGTCTTTACATAGATTTCGTTGACGGTTCCATGATAATCCTTTTTAAATGATTCAAATCAAACGTCCCTTCTGTTGTCCATAGCATTCTTGCACATAAACTTGTTTAGCTAATTGCCAATGAAAACCATCATTTCTGGCTTACTTAGGAATTTTAACAGATTAGTCCATCTGTGGTAGATGCTTCCCCCTTGCCACGTTATTATTCAATTTTCAGCCATAGAAATCAGAACAATTGTGCTTTTGGATTGGGTTCCACTTGATGCCACCACCAATTTAGCACCCCGAGTCTTCCCAAAGTTGTAACAAACCAAAGTACTGTGAATGAGCATGTACAGTACGGAAGTTCGACCTGGGAAGACTGATGTACCAGCTTAGTTTAACGCTCAGTTGAACAAAACATTGAATCACTGCATTCTAATTAACGTGATTGTTACTTATGGCCATTGTTCCTTCAGGACGCTTTGAAACGCATATGGTGAGTCCCTTAAATTGAATTAATATAGTTTAATAGACGAATACCCGTCCATTTCTTAAATACTTTTCTCAACGCATAGCGGGAAGATACTTAGACAACCGATAAACTGAGCAGCGTGCTACGGAGAATTCTGGCTCTCCAAAACAATCACTGCCTTTTCGAATTCATCTGTAGGATTGATCGGGATAAATGTACCAATCGGAAAAAGTTGTTTGTCAGTCATCTATATGGATGTGATCCTCTCTGCCCCTCTCACTCATTCTACTGTCAAAATACGGTTTAAGTGCAATAACCGTCACACCGTGTTCTGCGACGTTGCCAACGCAATAAACTGGGCATCTGAATAGGGCCCTACTTATTCGTTGACCCTGGAATTCGATAACAACTGCTTCTCTGAAAGGATGTCCCACCGACCTTACCAAGCTTAACAACATCTCGCCAAGCACAAGTCTGAGAGCCCACCTCGATTACTTTGTAGCCTTGTGATCAAAGCGCCTCAGTCGCCTTGTATATGATTCGCCTCATACACACCTCCCCTTACTCCTGACACATCGCACTTCTCCGACCTTAGAGTAAACAATTTCTATCAAACTAACGCCGTACTAAACAAAACAATTTTGTATAATCGTGAGAAATATATCCATTTACAAAAAAGTGCCAAGAAAAGAAGGCTCACGCGGGAGCGAAGTACATTCTCTTGTACGGCCTTGTGGACTCCTCAGCATCCACGTTTCCCGATAACTTCTCCATGTAGCGGCAGACGGTATTGAGGCAACGAAAGCCGTAGGGCAGACGTGTCACATATTGCAGGGGTGCGCCGTTGCAATAAAAGAGGACTGTCAAAAAGATTGACACGCACTCCACCGGATCCAGCTGACGCTCTGTTGGGGTAAAAAAGGGGGAGAAAGCGAAAATTAATACAATGCCAGAACGAATTCCCTTGTATCGGTCCGCACACACACACAAAGTGACCAGTCATTGCAACAGCGACATAACTCAGGGGATTTTCCCACCATTTCTCTTTTGCTTCAGCTGTAAAATAAGTATACTGAACCCGGTCAACTCTCACAAAGGCGGGATCGTAATAAAAGGTTGAATTTACTATACAACTTTTTCTGTGCACTACTAATTATAATTCCTAGGCACTTGCTTAAATTAACTGTTGTAGGTTTTGTTTTTCTTTAAGTCTCATCAGGAAGCTATGAGAATAGGGTCAATAAGTGCCGCTTATCCTTTCAAATGACCCGAATATTGAAGGCGTGCCACGCGCTACCACGGCATCAGGGCTTTTTATTCCTATTCGATTCGTAAACGGTGGAAGGGATAAGAAACTAACAATACAAAACGAAAAATAGCAGCTAAAATAGTGGCAAATCACCTTTAGTTGAGTTGACGATGTCTGTGACTACAGCCATCATTGAATCGAAGAACACCTCTGCCGAATCTGATGTGGGTTCTACTAAAAGGTATCTTTGTTTCCTCTCCATATCTGAAAAAAAGGTAATTTATGCAGAACCGCACAAGCGATAGTAGCAATGGCTTTGGGCGTTTTGCTGGCAAATAAATGTCATCAGCAAAACCATTACATTTAGTAGGGATGTATTACCAATACGAAATGAACAAGTAATACCATACTAACTTCCACCGAAGTTTTTCAGCATATTTTGAATCGCTCCTTTTTTCTCCAAAACAGGGCCATGATTGAAGCATGAAATTTCACTTCAATGTTCTTCAATAGGATTGGGACTAACAAAGTGTGGAACACAATTACCTTTACGGAGAAGTACTTACTAAAATCGTTATAGAGATTGCTTAGAGTCTAGCAAATGAAACACTTTTTGAATGACACGAGACACTCAGAAGGGACATTAACCAAGTGTTCGTGTAGCATCACTCAAGTTACGAACTCTACATACACGAATTGTCGTTTAGCAAGCAGCGATACCGTCGAAGTATCCCAACAGCTTTTGAACTTTGACGTCATTCAAATTTACGATAAACAGTATTATCAGTTAGGGTTTACAAAAACAAAAGCAACTCCATCATCGGTAATGAAACACGAATTTACGCTTTGGAAACCAAAAGAACCGAAAAAGCAAGAAGGCACGATAAAGAAATCACGTTAAAATTAACCGAAAACGAGCGAAACACAAGTGCCACTTTTAATTGTCCAGATTTATTGGGTATCACGGTCAACAGTAGGCATTACCTGAATATTTAGTGTCTGTGTGAAGCTGCTTGTAGAGAGCAACTTGATGTATGGTATCATAAACCAACGAAAATTCCCCTACTTACGCACTTTGAAAAAACTCCAGCAAATACAGGCTCTTATTCATCTAAGGTGCTGACGACTGGCATTTAGTCTATTTGCATGACTAAGATAAACACTCTCAATATTGGCGGCTGATATTAAAATAGAAATATTGCCAGTTAAAAGATTTCACCTTACATACTTCTCTGTAGCTTTTTTATTTCTGTCCTCCTAAATGCAAAGAAAGACGACTCTATAAAAAACAGCAGTAAGGCATGTTTTGAATGTAACGGGAAAAGTTAGCGAGAGCGTACTGCGGTATAAAAAAACTGAACTCTTCTTGATATATGAATCAAAACTTCGTGGTCCATCAATTTTACGAATGATTCCACTACATACAGGCGCACAGAGCAATGTGTAAGAACTCACATCCTAGGTGGCTAAGAAGATACGAGAAAATAGACTTTGTGTAGGCGAAGAGACTCTGCACACTGCCAGATGCAGTGTCACTGGCCACCGCGATGACGCCAGGCGCAGCAGGGGACGTGTCAAAAGTGGAGGCGGCGGAAGGAAGGCCGAGAAGGGGTGTAGAGGCGGCACGCAGCACTCGGAGGAGGTGCGGCGTCGCAAGGTCAGGTGGGAAGAAAGCACGAAGGAGACGTGCGACCTGCTGCCAGCACAGCTCCGCTAGGCTGCTCGGTCGGTGCACCAAGCGGAAGCGGTGCAAGTGGTTCACTCGCGTTTCCTCTCTCACACCGCCGAAGGAGAAGAACTCGTAACGCTGCAACAATGCAGACCCCAAACACGCTAATCTTCCCACCCTGCATTAACAATTTTGCCCTACTGGTTGTCAAAACAACCAATGAAGTAGATCTCATCCTTTACAAGAGGTTCACAGAGTTGTAGCTACTCGGCAAGACGCTTTCTTTGGGCAAAAGGCCGTTATAATGAAGGCACTACCTTAGATCAAATATCAAAATAAACACACCAGTGCCTCCCTTCATAAATATTCGGTGTAGCTGGAATAGACACAAAAGATCTTTACGTTTCTTTTCCACGAGGTAAAATTGATAAGGAATTCGACACGGTGAAGTTTGTTGTAAAAATGGCTTATCTATTCGGAAAAGCACCGATGTAGAGAGTTGTGCTAAGCTATCTTCGCTAACTGAGGGACATAATCAAGAAAAATTTGTAATCACAGTTTTGTTTCCAAATTGTTTGCAAAAATAACGGTTAAATTAATCCCAAGGAGCACTGCAAGCGATTTGGCAGTTTTTTTCAGGTAAAATGAACAAAAATCGCCTGTATCCAAGACTGTTAAACATTCACAGATTCAAGAGAGAAAGAGCGATGAAGATGCACTTCCTGGTAAGTTGAGAAGACTAGGGTTACCTTGATATTAAAGTTTCAACAAATTAAAAAACACCGCGCAAACAGGAGAATCTAAACTCACTCCAGGAGCGACGGTCAGGTCATGAAAGAATGTGGGTAGCGGCTGGCTTCCAACGATGTAAAAGACCAGCGATTCCAAATTAAACGCAAAGACCAGGTTGTTGAGTTCATCAGTTTCGTCCATTACTCCACCAGTCGTGTAAACAACTGTAAAATAGGCAAAAGGGGGATGGGACGGTGAGCACACTGAGCAACTACAAAAGAAAGGCAGTAACTTCAATAAATAGCTGTTAGTTGCTCAATCGAGACGAAAAAGAAAGTGGCCACACAACTTACCATTATCGAAGTGAACAGAACATGAATATCGAATGGGAGGGGGACATCTACCGGAAAAGTTGACGTACCGCCATCCCCGCCTTCGTATGTCAAAGACAGGCATCTAAAAGGACAGACAGTTGACTGATAGGTATCACAACCCGACCTCCCCTTTAAAAACACTCGTGTGTGTGTGTGCAACAAAAGTGCTACCTTGATTCTCCTTACTCAGGACATCCCTGAAGTCCCACTTCTGGTAGATGATACCATTGGATAAGGCGTGAAATTTAATGCGCAAAAGTAGGGTCGCGCAAGCGAACAAAGCTGATGAAATCAGATGCTTACCACCTGAAATGCAACTGACCCGCAATCCAAATTTGATACAATCAGAAACCACAAATCTAAGCATCGGAC